TCCTAACACTATTTCCTAGTTTAGAGAGTGCAGCTGTAGGAACATGAAGTCTGTTTCTGTTTCTATTTCTATTTAAGACAGACATTATTATAAGTTCTAAAACTGGAAATGTCAAGGCAAATGTTCTCATGAGCATGTATAAGGCCGATAGCACAATGAATAATGCAGAATATAAGAGTAATACTTCTCTAGACTGAGCCTGTATGTGTGCTGTGCTGTGCAGGTGGAGCAGCAGTCCCAGTACATCCAGGGTTATAAGGTGCTGTACCGGTCGTCTCCAGCAGAGGGCCAGGTGCGTAGTGATTGGTCGGTTTTCGAGGTGCGGACGGCGGGGGAGGACAGCGCCGTGGTGCCTCAGCTCCGGAAGGGCGTCACCTACGAGTTTAAAGTGAGACCGTTCTTCAACGAATTCCAGGGTACAGACAGCGACGTGAAGATCGCCAGAACTCTGGAGGAAGGTGAGTGAGCGAGCGACGAGCACACACCCTGTCCCCATCACACAGTGTGAAGTGTCACATACAGAGGTGGGACTCTGTGTCTCACTGTTCAGTTCAGTTATGATTGTGTGGCTCATGAACAGATGCAGGATCGATGTGTCTTTATGTTTTACTGTATTTTACTGTTCAGATCAAATGAGTGGCTCCTGTTTGAATGTGCAGAGCTGCAGGATGAAGACCAGGGCTTTCCTTAAAGGCCTCATTGCATTGTTGTTGTTTATTTTGTATTTTTTAATTATTATTATTATCATTATTTTTATTTATTTAAATAAGACAAGGATAAGTTTAGTAAGTGGCTCTATGACAGCACATCTACTTCAGACTAGATGTGAGCTCTGTTTAGCTTCTCTGCACACTTTTATAAGAAACTAAAGTTCACACGACTCTGTCCTCTACAGGGACACGCTTCTGTCCTCTACAGGGACACGCCTCTGTCCTCTACAGGGACACGACTCTGTCCTCTACAGGGACACGCTTCTGTCCTCTACAGGGACACGCTTCTGTCCTCTACAGGGACACGCCTCTGTCCTCTACAGGGACACGCCTCTGTCCTCTACAGGGACACGCTTCTGTCCTCTGCAGGGACACGCCTCTGTCCTCTACAGGGACACGCCTCTGTCCTCTACAGGGACACGCCTCTGTCCTCTACAGGGACACGCTTCTGTCCTCTACAGGGACACGCTTCTGTCCTCTACAGGGACACGCTCTGTCCTCTACAGGGACACGCTTCTGTCCTCTACAGGGACACGCTTCTGTCCTCTACAGGGACACGCTTCTGTCCTCTACAGGGACACGCTTCTGTCCTCTACAGGGACACGCCTCTGTCCTCTGCAGGGACACGCTTCTGTCCTCTGCAGGGACACGCTTCTGTCCTCTACAGGGACACGCCTCTGTCCTCTACAGGGACACGCCTCTGTCCTCTGCAGGGACACGCCTCTGTCCTCTACAGGGACACGCTTCTGTCCTCTACAGGGACACGCCTCTGTCCTCTACAGGGACACGCTTCTGTCCTCTGTTGGGACACAGTGTGGAGTTAGTTTAGTGGTAAAGTTGCTTTTTCAGTGCGTAACATGAAGTCATGTCTATCTTGAACTGAGTAAAAAATTTAAATGTGAACAAAATCAGTCCGCTGGGCTTTCTTCATCTAATGATGAAGTGTTTTATTGTCCAAGTATCAGGAATTACACTGTTAGCATCCTAGTTGTTAGCATTATACATGACGGAAAAATTGCACTGATCTCTGGAAGTTGTGAAAAGTGCTTTTAAACTCTTTGAGTAATGAAGACGCTCTGAGTGCATAAGGTACATGAGGAATGACTCAGGACGACCACAGACTGTTTCAGATGAATTTGTTCTGTCTGTACATTTTTCTATAGGCACTCGAAATAGTACATCACTGTTAATGTATGTATTTATATTCAAATATGAAAATATATTTTTTACAAACCATATCTCTGTGTTTGCACATATGAACCATAAAAACAATTATCATTATGTGTAACCACAAACATAAATATTACTAAATCGTCTCAGTCTGAGTTGGTCATTGGTGCAGGATTGATCCATGGTAGAAAATCTCTTCAATTCAGTTCAATAATTACACATCAGAGTAATTGGAAGTGGTGTGTGTATTTGCAGCGCTCTGTCAGCGCCGGGCTCTTGGGCGTGGTGCTGCTGGGCCTGTCTGGATTAATACTATAGTCAGGAAGTCGTTAAAGGACCATATGTAAAGTATAAAATATAATGACATGTGCTCAGAATATCAAGTATGTCGGAGTCTGACTGTTTCAGAAACTCATTTGTGGTGATTCTTTTTTATGAAGCACTTGGAATCATTCTTAACACTGAAATGGAAGCACAGAGTTTAAATGGGTTTTTCTGTCAACAGTAAAAAGAAATCAGATTATTACTATGCCTGCTTATTTTTCTACTACTACTACTACTACTACTACTACTACTACTACTACTACTAACTGACTACTTACTACTACTACTACTACTGCTACTACTACTACTGCTACTACTACTACTACTACTACTACTACTACTACTACTACTACTGCTACTACTACTACTACTACTACTACTACTACTGCTACTACTACTACTACTACTACTACTACTACTACTACTACTACTACTGCTACTACTACTACTACTACTACTACTACTACTACTACTACTACTACTACTACTACTACTACTACTACTACTACTACTACTACTACTACTACTGCTACTACTACTGACTACTACTACTACTGCTACTACTACTACTACTACTACTGCTACTACTACTACTACTACTACTACTACTACTACTGCTACTACTACTACTACTACTACTACTACTACTACTACTACTACTACTACTACTACTACTACTACTGCTACTACTACTACTACTACTACTGTACTACTACTACTACTACTGCTACTACTACTACTACTACTACTACTGCTACTACTACTACTACTACTACTACTACTACTGCTACTACTACTACTACTACTACTACTACTACTACTACTACTACTACTACTGCTACTACTACTACTACTACTACTACTACTACTACTGCTACTACTACTACTGCTACTACTACTACTACTACTACTACTACTACTACTACTACTACTACTACTGCTACTACTACTACTACTACTACTACTACTACTGCTACTACTACTACTACTACTACTACTACTGCTACTACTACTACTACTACTACTGCTACTACTACTACTACTACTACTGCTACTACTACTACTACTACTACTGCTACTACTACTACTACTACTACTACTACTACTACTACTGACTACTACTACTACTACTGCTACTACTACTACTACTACTACTACTACTACTACTGCTACTACTACTACTACTACTACTACTACTACTACTACTACTACTGCTACTACTACTACTACTAGTACCACTTTCTCTTTACAGTTGATAGTTCTGTATATGCACTGTCGGGCAAGTGACTTTAAAACTGTAATGTGTTATTTATGACTTGTTATTGTCATTTCAAAGTCATTAGTTACATTACAATATTACTGTGTTTAAAATGTAAAACATTACATTACTATTGGATTACTTTTAAGTTACTCTCACCAAAATAACTGCGAAGATGCTGAACTTTTGCACCATATATGGACTAAACCAGGTCTAAACCAGGACTGAACCAGGTCTAAACCGAGATTAAACCAGGACCAAACCAGGACTAATCTTGGACTAGAACTTGGAGTCTAGGACCGCCCCTGAGAGAACCCCGAGCACGATCGGGTGTCAGCTGCGTTTAGCTCCGTGGAGCGTGGAGTTCCGGTCCTTTCGCTCGTGATCTCGGTCTAAGCGAGTGCACCTCTGGCGTTTTACTGCTGCTGATATCGAGGTGATTTTAGCAAACTTGTATGAAGAAAAACGAAAAACCCACCAAATCTATCCAGGATAAAAAAAAAAAAAAGCATTGTAATGTGCGTCACTGACATTTGTACCGAGTAAAATATTACCACTTTTTTCCCCTGTAATGCTGAACATCACTGTGTTACAGCAAAAAGTAACACATTACAGTAATGTGATACTTTTATAAGACGTTACTCCAAACACTGTGTATATGTACTTTCAATATTTATGTATATGGGGAGAGAGTGAGACTTGCAAAAAAATGACTTAGTCCCACCTCTGATACTACTAATACTGCTACTACTACTACTACTAATACTACTACTGCTTGTATTACTTAGTGGTAATACTACAGCTACTACAACTACAACTACTACTACATTTCCTCTTTCCAGGACTGACAGCGTTTCACCAGAGTGAGATAGTGCAGGGTTGGGCTGTATGTTACTGTCAGTGGATCTGCACACTTTTTCACGAGCGTCACAGTTTTGGCACCAAGTTGTGTGAGATTTAAAGAACCTGCTGCAGTCTGATGTAGTGTGGAAGTGACAGAAATAGCCTGTCCAGTGGAATAATAGGGCTGTATTTTAGACAAAAGAAATAATAGGCTTATAAAACTTTGGAGGTTCTGGGGGTCCTGAGTATTTCCTGTGTTTTGGTGAGTTTGAACCGGTTCCTCTCTCTTCATTTATTCATTTAACTCTTGAAATCAGTGACACTAATAATAATTTAAAAGAAGAATAAAAAAAAAAATCTGTATCTGTAAAGTTTACAGAGCATTGATTCATTAAAGAAAGTATGATGATTTAGACCAAGGGTGGGCAAAGTACGGCCCGGGGGCCATATGCGGCCCTTTAATCTTCTTAATCTGGCCCGTGGAACTTGATCATATTCAGTGTTTTTCAAAGTTATTTCAGTAAATAGTAAATATCGTGTGACCTGAAAGACAGATATTTTGTTGTGATGCTTTGTCATGATTTTCAGTATGGGATATTTCTAACAATAACATGAGATATATTTTCTACATATCCCATGTTAGTTTTTATCTCTTATGAGGTGGATTACCAAAAAAACTCCATCCATCTGATCCTGGTCCGGCCCTTCTGTCAAATTTTAAAACCCTTTGTGGCCCTCGAGTCAAAAAGTTTGCCAACCCCTGATCTAGACGATAATTAAATCAGATGTTTTACTCAAAAATGGTTCAAAAAGGATCAGTTTATTTTTAACTATTTAGAATTTATTGAGAAATAAGAGCAAGACACGAAGAGACAATCTGTGATCAGCAGAGAGAGATGAGAAGAAAGAGAGCGAGAGACAGAGAGACACAGAGAGATAGAAAGAGAGAAAAAGAGAGAGATGGAAAGAGACAGAGACACAGAGAGAGAGAAAGACAAAGAAGAGAGAGAGAAGAGAGAGAGAGGGACAGAGGAAGTAAGAGAGAGAGAGACAAAGACAGACACAGAGAGAGAAAAACACAGAGATACAGAGAAAGTGAGAAAGAGAAAGAGAGACAGAGAAAGAGAGACAGAGAAAGGGAGACAGAGACACACAGAAAGAGAGAGAGAGAGAGTGACTCTAGTCTTATTCTAAATACACAACTAGATCCTTTTTTTTTTTGCCCCAGTATTTTTTCCGAGCGAGACACGAGCGCTGCATGAGCATGTAAAGACGTAAAGACACTCTCATGTGTTGGTGATTCTTTCTCTACGACTGCTGCTCAGATCAGACTTTTATTCATTCTGAATTCAAAACTAAATAATGAATTAGATGATAAAATAATGAAAATACATGAATGAACTCAAACTATACATTATTATTATTATATATTGATGTCACTTTGGATGTCGTGCGTGTGTCAGATTTGTAAATATTTTGTGGCGCTCGCACACTCTCCTCGCCCCCCGCCGTGCGCTCGCAGTAAACACACAGATTTTATTTTTCACGCAGGATTTTTCAAACGCCGCTGTGAGATATGAAAGCATGCTCATTAGCCGTTAGCGCTTTGTTCTGTATCGCGGTTCAGACTCACGGAGAGATAAAGAGCGCGATCTGACAGAGGAGAGGACGAAGAGGAGGAGGAGGAGGAGGACGAAGAGGAGGAGGAGGAGGAGGAGGAGGAGGAGGAGGAGGAGGAGGAGGGTACACTGTAAAAAATATACTGTCTAGAACTGAAAGGACTTGAAGTTTGAAAGTTGATCTGGTTTGTTTCATGTAAATCATTGTGCCTTCATAGTTTTAACAGTTACCCAGGGTTGCTGGTTCAAATCTTGACTGAATATACTATTGCTGTGTCCTTGGGCAAGACACTGTGGATGCTATAACACGACTTGGGCAAAATAAACGTATCAAAAATAATAAATAAACTAAAAAGGAAAAAATTAGGATGTGACGCTCTATTACATGAGGACCCGGTCAAGCAGAAGTAAACAGCAAGACCAAACATTCAAGTGAATGCATCTGATATAAAAATGTATTGAACAGATACATATGTACTCTAGTTTATGAAACTGTTGACCTTTTTTCTGTACCATTTTTGGTTCTAAAGTTCCATATGTTTTAAACAGACCATGTATGAAACATGGAACAAAAATTATTTCCCAAATTTCAAAGATCTGCAAATTGGGCGGCAGTAGTTCAGTTGGTAGAGCATTCGCCCACTGATCTGAAGGTTGGTGGTTCTAAATCCAGCTCTTCACATAAAACATCACAGGTTGAGTGGTCAGATCCACTGACCCACAGGTTGGCTGGTGTGATTCCAGCTCCCACAGATGAATGCTGCTGTTGTGTCTTTGGGCAAGACACTTAACCCACCTTGCCCACAGTGTCTGTGTACACTGGTGTATGAATGGGTGAGTGGTTCCTTGTTGTAAAGTGCTTTGAGTGCCTTGGAAGGTGGAAAAGTGCTATAGAAAAATGTGACCATTTACCAAATCATGTAAATAAATGGATGTATTTCATCATATCTTGTGTTATTCAAACTTTGAACTTTTGATGAAGGTACATGATATAAAAAAAAAAAAAAATGTAATGATAAAAATGTGCTTGGAAGGACTGACATATTTTATAGAAATAGTTTCCTTTCATTTTGAAGTAATATTAAAGTTTTCGGAAGAAAAAAAAAAGCAACAAATGATGTAAAATCCTGCACCTTCTACTTGTTTACACAATTTTCCCTCCGTTACTTTTCCCTCCGTTACCATGACCTTTCTTAATAAAAAATCTCATGAGTCAAAAAGTAAGAGGTTTTTCAACCTAATCTTGTACCATATGGTAGAAAACTATATGAAGCAAATATTCAAACCAGTTTGTTAAGGATATGGAAGTGAGAACCAAGAGTTATCACTGTTTGGATTTATTGCCCAAAAAGTGCTGCATATTTCATTCCCTCTGTTACCGACATGAGTTTTTAAATTTTTCCTCAACAACTTGAAAGAATATCACAGGTTTAACTTGACCCTGTTGGAGTGTAACTCTTTCCTACATTCTGATACTTTACTTATTTCAATAGTCCTGAATAGTTTCTGAATAAGAGACATTTGAATGTCAAAAATCTGCCCCTGTTTCCCTCCGTTACCACTTGACCGGACCCCTAACACTGGAATCACATTTTACTTTAGTTTATGATTTAAAAAACCCAGAAAGTCTTTTCATAAAAACAATTTTCCTGCTGCTTCGTGAAATGTGCCACAAATTTGCATTAATACAACAAGAAATCAATACATTTTACTGTTTTACGTGACTAAATAAAAGATTTGGTTAAAAATATTCAAAGTCATCTTCATAATTGAACCGTGCAGACATATATGTTCTTCTCTTTCTTTTCAGTGTAAAAATGTGCATGTTTTAAAGGTGTTGTGTTGTTTCGTTGTCTCGTCCCAGCTCCCAGCGCCCCGCCCCGCGACGTCACCGTCACAGAGAGCGGAGACAACGGGACCACCATCCTCGTCTCCTGGCAACCGCCTCCCGAAGACGAACGCAACGGGCTGGTCCAGGAGTACAAGGTAAAGACACAACACACAGGGATGGGGGGAGGAGAACAGAGAGAAAGAGAGAGAGAGATAAAAAGAAAGAGAGGAAAACAAGGCTGATCCAGGAGTAAGTGAGGTGAGAGAGGAGAGGGAGAAAGAAAAATTTGGGTTAAAAAGAGGAAAAGGGAAGAAGGGAGAGGAGTTGGAAAAGAAAGGAGAAGAGGACAGGCTTAAGGTTTTAATGAGGAACAGAGAGAGGACGGAATAGTAGAAGGAGTGGAGAGGAGTGAGAGAATAGAGAAGAGGAAAGGGCTTTAAGGATAAAGAGCTGAGGGAAAAGAGAAAGGAAAAAGAGGAAACTCTGGGGATAATGCTCCAGACTTACCTTTGTGCTCGTGTCAGACAGATACGAGGAGAGAGAGAAGAGAAAAGACAGAGAGAGCATAAGAGTGAGTGAGAGGGATGGAGAGAGGTGAATGAAAAGAACATCCACCCAGGGGCGTGTGAGGAAGTGTGTGAGAACGCTGCCATCTAGTGGTGACAATAAATACTGCAATGGTCATTTCTATAGGATTGGAGCTCATGCATTTCTATAGGAGGGTTTTTCTCTGTGTCAGGGACAAGACCTGTGATTGTGATTGTGATTGTGATTGTGTGGCTGAAAGTACTTGTGTGTGTCCAGAGTTACACGCAGTATCCTCTCAGACTGTACTACATACGGTCTGTTGGATATATTCATGTATTCTGTCCTGCAAAGACAGAACACGTAACATCAGGTTTGGTCAAAATGAGTTCATGTTATTGTGTTTGTATGTGAGAGCTCCTTTATCATGTGAATAAATATCATGAAAAATAATGAGCTCAAAATTGACCTTATTTGTCAGTTCCTGTTCTCTGACTTTGTATCATGAGACAAAAACAAGGAGTCGTGCGTTTATTTCATAAATATATTTTATTTTCAAATCCAACCTGTCGCCTCCTTCTTTTTGTTGCGGCTTTGGCACAGGGTCTTAATAAATATATCTTTGCATTCAATTATACTTCAATAATCTTTAATAATCTTTACTGTGAAAGTATTTGGTGTATTTATTCATACTGTAAACACTATTGGTGGGTTTCAGATGACATCACAGTGTTCTATAGGCCGATATTATTTAATACAGATGGGGGCAGCTAAAGTAAATACAGTTAAAATGTTGCTTTTTGTTTTTTGTTTTTTTTGTAATATAGCAAGTTCATAAGTTTATACTAATAATACTAATAATACACGGTTGGTGGTTTGAATCCAGCTCTCGACATAAAACATCACAGGTTGAGTGGTCAGATCCACTGACCCACAGGTTGGCTGGTGTGATTCTACAGATGAATGCTGTTGTTGTGTCCTTGGTCCAGACACTTAACCCACCTTGCCCACAGTGTCTGTGTACACTGGTGTGTGAATGGGTGAGTGGTTCCTTGTTGTTAAGGGCTTTGAGTGCCTTGAAGGTGGAAAAGCACTATAGAAAAATGTGACCATTTACCTTTTACCATTTACATACATTTGTGAATAAACTTTTTGGATATTCCGTCACGATGTACAATGTCATTAAAAATAAATCTGTCCCTTTCCTTCCATCTGGAGTATGACACCATCACATTCTAGAATCTAAAAAACCACCAGTATTCAGGGTTCACACAGTCATTGAAATCCTGGAAAAGTCATCAGAATTAAAAATGTCATTTTCCAGAAGTGAAAAAGTCATGGAATTTTGTAAATTCAATGGAAGTTTTAGAACAGTCATGGAATTTGAGTATGTCTTTCACACAACTCCAGTGTTCTGTTAAGTTCTCATGAGTCTGTTCTGATTATTTGTGAACGTCTGAGTCTTTTGATTAAAAGAGACGACAATAAATGCACTGACAGGATTTTGAATGTTCAAAAACTATAAGGTGAGTGGAAAGAGTTCACATTTCAGATTTAGCTCTAAAAGTTTGATCAGTTCTACACATGTAGGTGCTGTAAAGTCATGGAAAATTCACTTTAGCTCATGAAAAACTAAAGGAAAAGTAGGAAACGCTGTCAGTGAAAAAAGAGTGGGAGCCCTGTGAAAATGTTGCCTGATCAACAATAAACAGGAAATCCAAAACTCTTCTAGATCATTATAAACAAACACATGATGACTGGAGCTTGGTGAGATGTTTTTCTCAGAATGAATGGAAGTCTGGAGAAAATCAAGGAAATTATGTCAGTTTCTGCATTTTGTCTTTGCACGACTTTTTACTTTTGGCTCATGATACAAAGGCAGAGTACGAACGGTCAGTTTTGAGCTCAATATTTTTCACAAACAAATATTTCTTCATTATAGCAACTACCTGCCTATTCCACTTTCTAAAAATTGACAATTGACAAGACACTTAGAGAAGTCGCTAGTGTAATTCTTAGATCATGCACGCTTTTATTTCATCACGTCTGGACGACTGCAACGCACTTTACACGTGCATCTCTCAAAATGCACTTTCCCGTTAGCAATTAGTCCAGAACTCCATGGCACGACTTCTAAGGCTGCGTTCAGACTGCAGCCTGAAGTGACCCAAATCTGATTTTTTGGCCCCTATGTTCCTGTATCTGATCTTTTAATGACAGTCTGAACCACACAGATCCGATTTTTTCAAATGTGACCCAGGACACTTGGATATGTGCTCCTGAAACTGATACATATCTGATCTTTTGACATGTGACTTCAGTCTGAACGGCCAAAGCGCATTCATCCACCTACACGTTATCAACAAGCCACAAACGTCACTATTCTGCGCTGAAATAGACGAAAATTGTTAATGAACTCCGTGTCACTGAAAAGTGAAGCACATCTCCACTCACCACTCTTGGCTCCGTCTCCACATCCACACGTTCTTTTCAGCGGACTGTCCCACAAAACACCACGACCAAAAACCTCGTCCTTCTCCTTCTCAATCTCCTCCTTAAAACAAGTAAGTTGTTCATGTTCTGGCTCCGGTACGAGAGGAACTTTAAAATCTCCAGGTGCTCGATGCTGCGTCCATGTTTGGACAACTTCTGTAAACACAGAGCACGCTCGCTGAGGTTGACGTCGTCGTGTCTCCAGTGCACATGTGGGACACTTTTGGGCCGTTTACTGTTCACACTGGAGTCACATACAAGTCACATTTAATTGGAAATGTGAACGACCTCGCAAAAACATCAGATTTCACAAAAAAAATCTGAATTGAGCGTTAAGCCCTGCAGTCTGAACGTAGACTAACAGGAACCAGAAAACGAAAACATATCACACCAATCCTCACGTCTTTGCACTGGCTTCATGTTCAATTTAGAAGTGATTTTAAGATTGTATTGTTTGTTTTTAAAGCTTTGAATAGACTGACCCCACAGTACGTGTCAGACCTCATCCAGATTTACTCCCCCTGTGCGCGAGGTCCGAGGTAGAGTGGTCCATCAAAGCATGGTTAACAATGATGCTTCAGATCATCTCGATTAGAACCTGCATTAGGTTTTAGCTTCCAAAAGATGATTTAGGAAGAAATTTGGAAGAAAAAGTAACACTGCAAAAAACAAAATGTAATCAAGTGAAGATGACTTGAAAAAAAAAATAAATAAATTAAAAAAAAAAAAGTTTCATTACAATTTGAGTCAATTTCACTTGACAAGTAAAATAATCTGCCATTGGAATAAGACTTTTTGTACTTAAAATATGAAAATATTTATTTTCTACACTTCAAATAAGAAAAACAACACATTTTTATACTTAAAATAAGAAACAAAATCAAATGTTGCTTAAATTCAGAAAAACACACTTATTAAATATTATTTTACTTGTCAAGTTGAATCTACTCAAGGTAAAATGTTCTTAATTTTAGTCATTTGAAGTTTTTTGTTTGTTTTTTTGTTTTGTTTTTTCCAGTGGAGATGTTTTAGAGTTTGCTCAAGCTGCACGAAGTTCCCTGGAAATTGACTAAAGTTGTGTTTCCAAATAACTTTTTATGGACTTTATCTAAGTAATTTTTAATGCAAGTTTCAGTTTGTGTTTGCAGAATAAATTATTGGAATACGCCATATTTATTTGGTTCTTTGTGATAGTATTGGTCCTATAGGACAATTTTCAAGTGTCTTGAGCAACCTCTAAATATTCAATCATTTGCATAAAATTTGGACCATAGAGAAAAATCACACACACTGTGATGAAAAATGTGAGATTTATTAGGACACACAGTACATTAAGACCTAGTGCTGAAATGTTGTACTGTATGTCCTAATAATAAATCTCACATTTTGCAAATAAGACGGTGTGCAGGATTTTTCTCTATGTTCTTGGGCTGCTCCCTCTCCTCCAACGCACCAGTGTCAAGTAACTGATGTGTGAAATGCTCATTCTTTTATATAAAATTTGGACCCAAATATTTTGGCCAGATATGGAACCAAATGCAGTGTTCTAATCTTGAGAATCTGAAATAAATAAATAAATTGGAACACCCTAAACCAGGGGTGCTCAATACGTCGATCACAATCTACCAGTCGATCGCCGTGTCTCGTCTCAGACTCGCGTTTGGACTCGGTCTTGTCTCTCACTCAAGGTCTGACACTCAACAAGTGTGATCATATTTCATTCCGGCCGCTGCTGTTGGTAATAAACTTGTAGCGGGTGCAGGAGCGTGTGGGGCGTCTCAGTGCAGCCTGTGCGCTCATTTGAAACCCGCGGAGACTCTACGGCGCATCACAAACACACACGCTCCCTATGCACGGCTCGTCTGCGACAGCGTGTGCCCTCGTGTACCAGCGTGCATCACAGGGCAGGTTCAACTTCCTAAACATCCTACCTGTCCATCTGCCTCACGTCAGCACGCCGCCCCTCGCCTTTTCACGCTCTCGCTCCTTCCTGCGTACAGCGAACACAAGCCCCTCCCACAGTGCGGCTGATTAGAAGAGCAAGACCAAACGTGAAGCAAAAACCAGTCTAAATTTGTGTTCCAGTGTTGGCACAAAGCAGGTCTACAGCATAGAGCGGATCTACAGAACAGACCTACTGCCACATTTGGCTGAAGTTTGCCTCACAAAAGTGACAACTGCATCTGTGTTTGTCACTATGTGCGTTTGGTTTGGTAAATGTGCAGAGGCTGGTAAATATCACTGCAAAACCAGAAAAGAATGTAACTCCAGTTTGGAACTTTAAAAAACAGGTTTAAAAATCTTCCTTCACTTTTTTCACAGTTTTGTGTAAAGTGCCAGAGGAAGTTCTCTTAAAGAGGGGCTTCTCAAACTGTGGGTGAGGGTCCAAAAAAGGAACACAGAGTGTTTCAGTGCAGTTTGTTTGGCTTTGTATTAGGTAGATCATTTTGACCTGGTCATTTTGTAAGTAGCTCACATGCTGAAAAATTGTGAGGACCCCTGAGCTAGACTGAGGTCCAGCTCCAGCTCTTGGGGCCTAAAACGAGACTTAAAACCAGGAGGGACAGGACCTTCTCTGTGACCGGCCCCAAGCTCTGGAACATTCTGCCACCCCCTACGTCCCAACATCCCCCCCCCCCCCCCCCCCCCCCCCCCCCCACACACACACACACACACACACACAGTGGAGAGTTTTACGTCTCGTCTTAAAACCCACTTTTACTCTCAGGATTTTTACACAAAATTAATAAAAATAAATAAAAGACACATAGGACCTGTATGTTTTATTTATGTATTTTTATTTATGTATTTTTATTTATTATTTTTTAATGTATGTATTTATTTATTTATTTATTTAATTAAATTAATGTATTTATTTATTTATTGTTTTTTGTTTGTTTGTTTGTTTGTTTTTTTAGCTTGATGCATTTTTACACTTTTTTATTTCTTATTTTTATTTAGGATTGACTGTCTTTTACTGTCTTCATTTGTCTGTGGAGCACTTTGTTTATAAAAGGTGCTGTAGAAATTAAGTGGCTTGGATGATTTCTACCAACATCTTGAACAAATACATTCCGTAATATTTGAAGCATTACCAAACCTTTCCCCTTCCGTTCTTTAAGCCTGTATCTGGATCTGTTCTACGCGGGGGTCGGGAGCGATTGCAAAAGCTCCACTCTGGGGGTCCGCGGGAGGCTGGACAGGCCCCGGCCCCATGCAGAGCTCAGAGGGGACTTTTCACGGGGACCCGGGGGCCCTTTTCCTGGACGTGACGCCACTTAGCTCCGGAGCAAATTGGGTTATCCGCCCGGTGGTTGGTTTTTGCCGGTGTAGGAGCTGCTCTGACGCGTGTTATGGCTAGTCCGGGTTACACTGGCGCTATTTTGAACAGGGGCAGTAAAAGAAAAAGTGTGTGTTAGAATGGTGTGTATGAGCACAAAGGCCATTCTGTGCTACGGACGGCTGTAACGGGAGATGGAAGACTGGAATTACTTGTAGTTCTTATGTTGGGTAATCTATAGTTCAGTGTATGGAACTTCAGAATGAGATCGTTTCATCATCATTTGCGGGTGATTAAACTGTGGGGTCATTGTGAGGACAGAAGAAAAAAAAAGACTTTATTATAGCTTGAAAATATGGTTTATAGGACCCATGTCGTGTTATTTTCTGATGTTCTAATGTCGTTTCTTCGTCACAAACAGACCTGGAGTTGTGTTTTGTTTCATTCACACAAACCTGCACATTTGGGCTGAGTTCTTCTCTCAAACTGACAACGTTTGTTCCACCTTGTGATGTCATGTAGTAATAGACAAAGTGCACGACTGTGTTTTTTGCTCCACACTTTGGATGGAATTTCCAATCTTTACTGAACTAAAGGTAAAAGGAGATGTAACAGTAACCAAAACATCATATCATATTGTCAAAAGTCTTTCAATAATACCGTGGGCTATCACAATAATGTCGAATTACAAGTTTCTTTGCTTAAATTCATTGTTTTGGCAGCATCGACTAGAAAAAAAAAAAAAAAAGAGAGAGAACTACATATCCCATGATCCTTTGCTTTGTCTCAGTATTTGGACTTTGACAGAAAAGTAGCATATTCACAGTTTTATTATCCTCCACAAAATATCGCAATAAATATCGTACTGTGAGATGCATTTCGTGGAAACATCGTATCGAGAGAACTGGATATCGTATCTCTACTGTTAACCTTAAAACTAACCCTAAATGACATCACAAGGTGGAACAGAGCATTTTGAGCTTTGGAGATGTAGACAGACTAATAATAAAGAGTTACTCAAACATGTGTGAATGAAACAAAACACAAATCCAGGTCTGTTTTCGAGGAGGGAACAACATTCTAACATGATTTAAAGCTCACAGGAGTATATTTTGTGTGGTGTAGGGCTTAAGATTGGCTTGAGTTCAGTGTAAAGGTGACAACAAATGTTGGCGATTATTTTGGCCAAAATTGGAAATCACTCATGATGACATGGTGTTGTTGATGTTTTTAGCTTGTCCAGGAAAGGATGGAAGTAAAACGCTGGAGACCAACTGGACGTCTTATGTAGGAGAAGTTTATTTACCATCAATAATACAGGATGGTGTGCAAAGAGAAGATCATAGTGTAAATATCCTATTTTTCGGGCTATTAGTCGCTCTGGATTATAAAACACACTTTCATTAAATGGTCTATTTTCAAACTTTTTTCACAAATAAACCGCACTGGACTTTAAAGGAAACCCAACAGTGTGATGGGTGAGTGGTTTTGTTTGTTTGTTCGTTCACAGTGACTCTGGGCTTTGTTCAGTTGTGGCGTGTAGGGAGGGTGTGTCTGGGACCAACGGATTGTCGGCGTGTTCGCAGTGACTCAGTTGTTCAGTTGTGTCTAGAAGTGGCACATTGCACTCGCTTTTTCAGTTTGTTCCTCCGTTCTGTTCCTCGTCGGCGTGGAGTGATGAGTGTGTCTGTGGGTGTGTTTCGCTGTGCGGTCGCTGTCTGCTCCGTGTGTGTTTGTGTGTTCTGCGGGTGGTGCATAGCTTTGTAGTTTACTGAAGTCTGAAGAGTACTGAAGAGTGGATTCGTTTATAGGGAACTCTGGATTTTGGGGCGCGCAGTTTTTTTTTTATGGGGTTAATAGCCCAGAAAATACAGTATTATATATAATAATAATGTAGCTCTTGTGAGTCAATGTTAAACTGAGAAATGTATATGGAGGATAAATGAAATTCTCTTAAATTCTCTTACACATAATGCATTTTTTAAAAGTGCACTGCTCAACTTTTCTGGTGAAGGGTCCACTATCTACTTGTTTCCATGGTGATTTGGAGATTGCTTTGCCTGGAATATTCCATGGTATGACATTAAACATACATCTTGCTTTTATTTGTTACAGTTGTTTCTGTTGCTCAGACATATAATAATGCTTTCTGTGAGTAGGGTCGCCTTTCCACAGATCTGACCTGTACTGTAGCCTAGTTGTGTCCCTTGACAGAGGATGGGTCAATCCTTACCCTGGAACATTCTAGACTAACCTTTCTAGATTAAATCTGTCTATCCCAAGGGAGACAAGCAGGTTACATCACTACACTGCTTTACAGTTCAGATCTGTGGAGTGTCGTCTCTATGCACAAAAGGAATTGTTGTATTTTTTGAGCAATAAAAACAAACATAATGAATAAATACTAGATGGATGTGTTTAATGTCAAACCACGGAACATTCCAGGCAAAACAATAACATCTCCATGGAGACAAGCAGGTAGCAGATCCTCCACTAGAAAAGTTACACAGTGCACCTTTAAAGGTACTAGGGGTGTGCAAAAATATCAAAATATTGATATATCGTATCGTTTAATGTGCTGATACAGTATCGATAGTGTGGGCTACAGTTGTGTTGACATTCTCAGTGTTTTGAGTAAAATGAATGTTTTTCACATTCACTTTTCACAAACTTAGTGGACTTTTAGTTTTAGAGCCATCATTTAGCCTTTTTTACAATGAACCGTATCGAATCGATGTGAAATATATTGAATCGAATCGTATTGAATCGAAAGCTCACTGTATCGAAAAGCGTGTCGTATCATGGCCAATGTATCGAGATATGTATCGTATCGGTAACTTCTTAATGATACCCAGCCCTAAAAGGTACAGAATGTAACTACATGAATCCACGGAAACAGAAAGTTAAAACTATTCTTTGGAACATTCTCTGTGGAGATGGATGTGTTTTATGTCACACTGTGGAAGATTATAATCAAAGGAACAACATTTCTTTACTAAGTCCTCCTCCAGGCCAAATAAGATCAGGTTTGTGGAGATGCAAACCTGCTCACGGTTTTTCAATGAAATAAACACAACCACCCCCCAGTCCTGTTCATAAGCACCCACCAGCACCCACCATTACCCACCAGCACCCACCAGCACCCACCAGCACCCACCAGCCCTGCTCATAAGCACCCGGCCCTGCTGCTGGAGGGATGAGTCTATAAATCTGTTGTTGATTTGTGTTTTGTGTTTGCAGATCTGGTGCTTGGGAAATGAGAGTCGTTACCACATAAACCGCACCGTGGACGGCTCCACCCTGTCCGTGCTCATACCGGGGCTGGCCACCGGGGTGCGCTACAGCGTGGAGGTGGCAGCCAGCACCGGGGCGGGGCCAGGGGTCAAGAGCGACATCACATACTTCCAACTGGGTATGTACACGAAAAGTGATTCAAACTGTTATTAAGTAAGAATGAACAAGGAAATATAAATCTAATAACAATCAAATGAAAAAATAAAATAAAACTTGGAAGAAAAAAATCAGGAAGTGCATGGTTAGCAGACTAGTTATTGTTAGAATGGTGAAAAGTGCTTATGCATCATGGTGAATAATTAGGATGATCTGAATGCAAAAGGTAAGAGAGGAATAACTCTGAACCACTGCACACTGTTTCAACCAGGCATGTCCAAACTATGACCCGGGGGCCAAATGCGGCCCTCAGACAAATCTTTCTTGGCCCTCAGACTTCCAGGTGAATTGGCCCAAATTACCTTGCATCAATTATTAGTGATTGGCATGATTAGTCGATGAATTGATAATTGATCATTAAGAATTTCATCGATTGTGTGTAGTGTGACCAAACAGGTGTGTACATGTGTCTCTGCATCAGAAGGAGCGAGACACAAACAGTGGGTCAGTCTGCAACACACAGAAGCACAAATGTGTATTTAACGATGACTTGTACAAGAAATTCCACACTTTCCGTTGCGTTCGGGACAAGTGTGAGTCCATGTGCACAGTGTATAAAGCAGCACATATGTTTCTGTGTCCAGTGGGAAAAAGTTTTTCCAGGTGAGAGTCGCACAATGTGGATGACGAGTCCCCACCTCCCTCCCCCCGTACGCTGTCCTGGTTTTGACAAACACAAATCTGGTCACACTAACCTGTATTCACCTGAGTCATGTGTCTTTTAATCCAACAGAATGTTGAACCACATCAGCGACACAAGAGCTGGAGTTTTATCTTTGCTTAAATTTATGTAAATTAGTGATGTGGTTTTAAGTTTTTGTTTCTGTGAGATTTGAACAAAACTGAATTAAACACATTATAATGTCAAACGGGCTGATGTGGCTCTAGAGTGGTTATGGTTTATATGTCGTAAAGTTGAATTTATTTATGCAGATTAGTGCAGATAGTAATAATAATGATGATCATTTTAATCTAAAAACGTTAATGATTAATCGATAAACGATCGTTAATTCTTCCGATGATCGATTAAGAAAATTTCATCAAATGCCCATCCCTAATTATTATTATTAGTTTTTTTTTTACTGCAAGTTTTTTTTCTTTGAAAATCTACCTTGATAAAGCAACACAATTTAACATTTAATGTGTGGTTTTAAGGATCTTAGCATGAATAAAAACTGATGGCTCATTCTAACATGTTAAACATGCACAGATTTCTACATATTATTCCCTGTACTGAGCATCAGTCTACAGCCCTCGATCGTGCTTCGTCTGTGTTTAAATATGTGGCTCTTGATGAAAAAAGTTTGGACACCTCCGGTTTAAACTGAGCTAGTTCTGTTTTTCACATTTTTCAGACAGTCAAAATCAGGTCGAGCGTCTTTAAACTCTTCCCAGTAGCTTACACAAACACTCATTGTCACTAATGTAGCTTTGAATGTTCGTGCCCGGAGGGACGATTACGCACAAAACTAACTGACAAATCATCATGGCTCAAATCCACCGCTCTTTTCATTTCACTGAGTCTACGCCAAGTCCGCACAGTCACACAGGTACTTTTGTAACTCAAGCCAACGCCATCAAGACCCGACCTGCCTCCCCTCTCAGCACTTAGAACAGCTCCGGAGGATTAGCCCGTGTAAACAGCACCGGCACAACCACCGCTTTTAATAACTTTGACTGAATGGAACTTTTGGGAAATGATTGTGTTCGAATTTGAATTGAAATTAAAAGAAAAATTGTCAGTCAAAGTGTGCAGCAGTCTCACGCTAGTGTTCAAAGATATTATGTGTGGATCTTCCTCAAGTAATCAGATCATGCTGTTGTTGTGTCCTCGGGCAAGTATGATTTTGCTGTTAAAATATGGCACTTGGGTCAGTAAGTTCTTTGGTAGTCCAGCTCAGAGCAGATGTGGAGAGTGATGGAATTTTTAAGAGAACAACAACGTAATACAAAAAAGAAAGAAAAAAAAAAAGATTACATTATGATTGTTATTATAACATATACTATAAAATTTAGTTATATATAGCACAATAATACCGAGGTACCAAACTAAAAATCTACACTTAAATTGAAGAGTTAAAAATATATTTAAATCACTTCATTTTGGTCTGGGTCCAACCGTGTGAAAAAACATACTGGACTCAAATTTAATAGTTTACATTAAAAATTAAGTGGTCTGACATCACTTGGCGCCCCCTGGAGGCGGCTCTGATTCTGCAGGACACAGATTGGAGACACTTTTGTCCTGTGGGTTGTTATTCTCCTCAAACTGCCCTGACCCTGGATCTAATGACTCCACCTTGAGTTGAGTTGCACTTTTTTGTTCATTTACTGCTGTGTGATTAAATTGCTATCATGGACAAAAAGTGATTTTTGATTTGATACACAGATGTAACATGATCATATAAAGTATTATGAGTTAATACTGAAAATCACATTCTGTTGTCTAAGTAAAGAACATCCAGTCTGTTCCTTAGTATCAAGTTTGAAATGTTAGGATCATGACAACAGCTGTGTAAAAGCATGTCTCCTAACTCTCTCCTCTCGTTTCTTTTCTGTCCTTGTAGACTCCTCAGGTCGGATGACAGAGAACGTGAACTCGGGGAACCCTCTGTCGCAGCAGATCTCAGACGTGGTGAAGCAGCCGGCGTTCATCGCAGGCATCGGCGCCGCCTGCTGGATCATCCTCATGGTGTTCAGCATCTGGCTCTACCGACACCGCAAGAAGAGGAGCGGCCTGTCCACCAGCTACGCAGGCATACGCAAAGGTACATGTCCAAGACTAAGACAGAACTGTCCACAAACTACGCAGGCATACGCAAAGGTACATGTCCAAGACTAAGACAGAACTGTCCACAAACTACGCAGGCATACACAAAGGTACATGTCCAAGACTAAGACAGAACTGTCCACAAACTACACAGGCATACACAAAGGTACATGTCCAAGACTAAGACAAAACTAAACTAGGACTCAAGCAATATTAGATCAACCCAAAGCCTGCGACTGGACTAGACAAGGTCTAAACTAGGACTAAACTAAAAACCTGACTGAAGAATAAAGCAGGTCTAAACTGTGAGGTTTACAAAATACATACTGCATTTTTAACTGATCTTAACCAGGACTAAAACAGGTCTAAATCAGGATTAAACCATGATCAAAACATGGTTAAAGCTAAGCCGGTCTAAACCAAGACTAAAACTGGACTAAAACAATTATAAACCACATAAAAACAGGACTCAGCTGGACAAAACCAGGACTAAACATGTGTAAACCCAGATTAAACCAGGTTTAACTATGACAAAACCAGGACTAAAAATGGACTAAGCTGAAACCAGGTCAATAGCCGGGTTTAACTGAACTAAACTGGACTAAGAGGTTTAAAGCTAAACCATGTCTAAACCAGGACTGAAGAAACACCACTCTGACATAAATCACTTTTAAACCTTGACTAAATCAGGTCTAATCGACGACTGAAGCGGGTCTAAACTAAATCAGGACTAAAATCAAAGTACAAAAATAATAAAAATGTCCCAAACTGCAGTGTAGCTGTAAGTTCACTTGAGGATTAGTCATGACAGAGCGAGCTCATATTTGTGTGGATGTACTATAGAGCGGAGGAGTGAGAGGAGAGAGCTGTGAGGCGTTTGCTTCTTCTCATCTTCCTGTCAGTATGTCTCAGTTTGTGTAGAAGGCTCTTAGCACCTCCCGTCTGACTGCGCCAGGAGAGAAATGAAGCTGCCTTCTCATAAAATGTCTGTATCAAAGCTGCACTAGAATCCACACAGACGTCAGGATCATGACGTGTTTGAGTTTCTTCAATGAGAGAAATACTGTTGCATCATACAACTCCACTAAAACTCTCCCTGTACGGCCTGAGAGCTTTAAAGAAATGCTTCTCCAAACATGACAGACATAAACGCCAAAAATCATCATCAGCAGCAGTGGGTAATAGGCTACGAAATTACATTTACAGTTTCCTTTAATATTATGGACTACTACTTTGAGTAAAAGTACCCTCTCGGTAGTGGAACATAACAAAATATCAAAAAAAACATAAAAAAATAAAAAACATTAAAAAATAAAAATAAAAAATTCCAGTAACGTGGATTATTTTTATGTATATTTTAATACATTTGAGAGCAGGTATCTATACTTTCGACTAAAATTATTATTATTTTTTTTATCAATGCAGAAAAGGCTGAAGGTTTATTTTTAACACATTTCTTGTAGGAGTTTGTAGTTGCATGTTTGAGCAAACAAAAATATACAAATAAAAACTGCTAGAAAAAAGTGGTCACTTGTTTCTGTTGAAGAAAATTCAGCCTAAATCTGTATCAAAATCACTTCATTTGAAGCTTTATTAGATCTCAAATTCATCAGTACATCTCAGTACATTTTTATTTTACATTTTAATACTTTAAGTTCGGTAGATTTTTTCATGCAATAATAGTAAGTAGAATAGAAGTATAGTTTCTTTGCTCTGGAATATTTACTTTTACTTAAATAACAAAATAGAGGGCCTAATAATAATAATAATAATAATAATAATAATAATAATAATAATAATAATAATAATAATAATAATGCATAGGTGTTGTTTTTTGTTGTTGTTTTTTTAATAGCACTTTTCTGGACACAGAACATTTTCCATTCACTTCATACCCGGTGGTGATAAGCTACTAGTCTAGCCACAGCTGCCCTGGGACAGACTGACAAAAGTGAGACTGCCAGTCTTTGTCATCTGCCCCTCACTCACACACAGACCACTTTCATACTAGGGAACGTGGGTGAAATGTCTTGCCTAAATACTAGGGCTGTCAACGTTAACGCGTTAACGCATGCGATTCATCACAAAAAATTGATTGCACTAATATATTTTTAACATAGATTAATCACACAATTTATTTTGGCCGGACATGCTCCTCTGTCAAAAGCGCGGATGCAGATGGTGACTTGAAAGGCCACACAGGTTATTAGGTCAGTGATCAGGTCTGTCCATACGCCGATGCAAAGACGGCTAATGAGACTATGACAAGTGTGCTCAGCGGCAAATTTCTCTTCAAAAAACTACCTGACGGGACTTTAGATCAAACTAAGGTAGTTTGCACATATTGTGGCAATGAACTCTCTTTCCACAGAAGCTCAACAAGCTTGAAATACCATCTTAAAGCAAAACACGTGTTTGATTCAGCGGCTAGCAAAGATGCGACTTGTACACCGACAACAAGCCGAGCACGACAAGCAACGCTGGCGGAGTGCACACGCGGCAATGTCGTCAACAAATGTACCACCGATAAGTTGCAAAATATCATGCACATCGCCACAGGTGATCCGTCAAACTACCTTAGAGGGGGACGATTTCTACAACAATAAACGAACTGTACTGTAAATTGTGTTTTTGTCAAAATATTTGGGTCTTCTGTTGAGCAATAATTAACTGCGATTAATTGCGATTAATCAAAATTCTAAAGTGTGATTAATCTGATTAAAAAAAATGTCGCGTTTGACAGCACTTCTAAATACACAAAGACAGTTTTTGTGACTGGCGCCCCCCCGTGGCTCCTGATTTTCCCAGCGTCTCCCATCCAAATCCTGACCAGGCCCGACCTCTGAGCGTCGGAGATTTGACAGGATCAGACTTCGACAAGCCGGTATTGCCACTTCTTCCACCTCTGCTCTTACTTAATGATACTACTTAACGATGTGCGTTAACGTGTGGTAATCCAGAGCCACAGATAAGCTGCGTTCACACGGTAAAATGTGATGATGTCATAGTTTCAGTCAGAGGGCGTGGCCTGTATAAGTCCATGGGAAAATCACTGTTTTTAAAAGAAATCTCCAAGTTTACGATGCACAAACGTTGAACCTCATTTTAAACTATAGAGATTCTAAAATGTCGTGTGTCACATGGACGTAACCTACATCATTCTAAAAGCCTACTCTGGCAACCATCTTTGTGTGGGCTGTCTCCTCCTCTCACACTGGCCCCGGGCTCTGCAGCTGCCTCCTTACAGCTTCACCCGCGCACCACCGCCGTACAATACGAGGTCTTAGCTTCGGTTAAACGCTAATCCCGAGCTGTCACTGGGAGGGCATCAGGCTCGATCAGATGGTAGTGGAATGCGGTTAGAGATAAGTCGTGAAAATCCGTGTGCTGTGAGGTGGAGTCATTATGAGATAGAGGGAATTGACTTAGGAATTTGGTGAGTACACACGAGACAGGACAATGTAACAATTGTCAGAGAAAGTACTTCAAGGCGCTGTACCTGATTTAAAAATGTGAAAAACAGAACTAGTGCATTTGAAACTGTTTGCAGCGGTCTAAAGTTATTCCTTCAGAGCGTCCTAATGATTCACCACGATGAGTTTATAAGAGCTTTTCGCAAATTTCAGACACAAGAGTGGAGTTTTCAAACAACAACGAGCATGCTACTGTGCACTTCCTGACTGGACAATGCAATGTTTCATAATTAGATGCAGACAGAACCCAGAGGACACAAGATCTGAAACTGAAACTGTAGGTGAAACTGCTGTAGGTTAGATGTTGGTCATGTTGTTTTTACGCACTATTGGAAGATGTAGTAGTAGTAGTAGTAACAGTTTATTTTCTTCGGTCAATTAACATAATCATGCATCATGTAACAAAACAAAAAAACAAAAAACACAAAACAAAACAAATTATGCAGTTAGTTATTATTAAAGTTATAGTATGTAACTTTCTGGATGAGCTGCATGATGGAAACACAAAGTTAAAACCACACTTCAGAACTTTCCCCATGGAGATAGGGAAGTTTTATGCCGTATTGTGGAAGATTATAGCCAAAGTTTCCATGGAGACCCTCCTCCAGGCCATCCAAGAGTCAGGTTTGTGGAGATGCAAGCCCGCGCACAGTAAGCATACATGTGTTTTTTCTATAAACTAGTGATGGGCGAGTGGAGCCTCGTGAAGCATTGACACCTCAGTCGCAATATTGTCTCAGATGGTTCGACGTGTCTGAGGCCTCGGAGAAACACTGACCTTTAGTGGACAAATTTAATAATAAGACAATAGTTGTGTGCAGAGCGACACCGTACCTAACAACAACAATAATAATGATGATTTAAAATAATATGTAAAGAGCAACATAAATAACATGTTGTAAATAAGAAAACAGGTATTACCTTGTTTGGTGGAATTAGATCAAAGTGATGCCAAACCATGGATCGCTTTTTTCCACTTGTAGATGCCATTGAAAATGAAAACAAATGCCAAAAGTCGCCAAAATCACCACTAACGTCACACAATACTCCTCACTACCCAACATTTTTAACAAATATTGGTGCATCTTTTATACTGTAGCAGTTTAGCGCTTGTCAAACCACAGAAGTGCGCTGAACACTCTGAAGCATCTGAACAAATCACAGAGCAGAACATTCGCCGAGCCAATGAAACGCTTCGATACACTGAAGCGATTCGACACACAGAGTGAAGCAGTAGGGGGAGGGACCGACACTTCCACACTTTGGTCACGTGAGCGGCTGCTGTGAGACGAGCTAAACCGAGGCAGAGCTTCAGAGTAAACCAGGATTTAAACCAGGTTCTAAAACCAGAAACCAGGACTAAACCAGGTCTAAACCAGACTCTAAACCAGGAGGTCTAAACCAGGACTAAACCAGGTAAACCAGGTCTAAAACCAGCCAGGAGGTCTAAACCAGGACTAAAACGAAGTCTAAAAATCAGGATCTAAAAACTAAACCAGGTCTAAACCAGGACTAAACCAGGACTAAACCAGGTCTAAACCAGGTCTAAACCAGGACTAAAACCAACTTTCTAAACCAGGATTTAACTAAACCAGGCTGCGTGGACCGTGTCTCGTCCTCTTCTATCGAGACTATTTTTTAATAAAGTCTGGGCTTTTTATTTTCTTTTATCAGACAAACTTCTTAAGTGAAGATTTCCTCGTCTTTGCTTCTCTACAGCAAATCAAGTAATCCAAAGTATTCAGATTACATTACTCACTTTAAGTAATTTAATGGATTACGTTACAAACTACATTTTGGGGTATGTAATCTGTAATCTGTAGGGGAATACATTTTAAAAGTCACCTTCTCAACACTGATAACTTAACATTGAGTAGTATCACTTCTACAGCTGATCTACACTTTTCTGGCAATGTAGGAAACACATTTGGATTTTTCCTGGTTTATTCCAGATTTGGTTTAGTCCTGTTTTGATTTAGACCTGCTTTACACATTTTTTTTTCTCTTGACACGACTATTCGACCTACTTAATTTTGCAATTTTCTACTTGCCAACCTCCTCAACGTCAAAGTGTTCCCCTATTTCAGACACGTTCTTGTAACCCGATCCGTTAAATGCAGACTAGTCCACTTTACCGCACTAGCGCAGCGACGTGTTCGCTGACCCCGCGGGCCCTCGTCAACCAAAACAAACATGGCCGCCGCACATGTCCAAGGCCGGGGCCACAGCCGACACTTTGAAGACTTAATGATGTTGTGTTTAGGAGACAGTGTGTGGGCTGTGGTTACGCTGAGAGCAGAGCTTGTTTTTACCGCGTGTTCTTGAAGGCGGCAGACCTCCTCCCACTGCAGGACTAAAGGTCTGCTGCATTCAAGTGTCACGCTGTAATTATCAGCTCATGTTAGATCCACTGTCTGTGCGAGTATTTACATGGAAACGAGGAAAAGAACTGTAAGATAAAGGTGTTCATGTGGGTTGTTTTAATTTGATACATACAACGATTAAAACGTCCATGTTACACGATTTTCTGGTCACAAACAGACCTGGAGTTGTGTTTTGTTTCATTCACACATGTTTAACACACAAACCCTGCACATTTAGGTGGAGTTCTGAGTTTTCTCAAATTGAAAACACTCTATCCACCTTGTGATGTCATGAGGTAATACAAGAAGTGCTCCACTGTGTTTTAAACTCCACACACCTTCACTAGACTCATTTGGATGATTTCAGACCTGGAATTGGCAATTTCTACTGAATAGTCCAGGTTAATTTGGTCTTCCAGCATTCACACAGGGTTCCTACGGTCATGGAAATCCTGGAAAAGTCATGGGAATTGAAAATGTCACTTTCCAGGCCTGTAAAAGTCATGGAATTTTGTAAATACAATGAATGTTTTGGGAAAGTCATGGAATTTTAGTATGTCTTTCATGCAGCTACAGTGTTCTGTTAAGTTCCCATGAGACTATTCTGATTATTTGTGAACATCTGCACCTTTCGTTTAAAAAAGACGACAATAAATGCACAGACAGGATTTTAAACATTAAAAAAACTATAATCCCAAACCATAAGTGAGTGGAAAGAGCTAACATTTCATATTTAGCCCTAAACGTCTAATCAATTCTACACATGTAGGTGCTGTAAAGTCATGGAAAATTCACTGTAGCTCATGAAAAAGTGAAAAAGTTTTGAAATTTTGTCAGTAAAAAAGAGTGGGAACCCTAAGTACACGCAAAAAAAGGAATGTAGGACAAAACACGAGAAGGAAACAGAGAAGGCAAAACATGAGCAACAAAACACAAAGCAGAACAGAAACAAGTCAAATGGGCCAACTGTGACCAATGTAAAAGAAAGAAGCACATTCTGGACTGAGAAAGAGCAAACATCACTGGGACAGAGGAAAACAAACATCATCGCTAGATTCAAGAGGCAATTGAAATACGGAAACATGCCCACGAGACAATAAACCGGGACGAGGGGCTTTTTTACTCTCACACACCTGGGATACTGTCCTGAGGAAGTGGGACTGCAGGTGGCGCTGTTGTCCTGCCTCCACCGGTTGGAAGACAGCACCAAAACCTGTTTAAATCAACGGAACGACACGTCACAGAAACATCACGAGATGAAGAGGAAGAGCACAGGGAACAGAACAAACTGTCAGGATGTAAACAGACTCTTGGTTTGAAAAAAGAACCTAAGAACATGAATCTCTACTGAAATTAAGGTGAAAGGAGCTGTTCACTTGAAAACTACTGCTTCATGACATCACCAGGTGGAACAGCATTTTGAGCTTTGGAGATTTAGACACTGCCAGATTGCTCAAACATGTGTGAATGAAATAAAACACAACTCCAGGTCTGTTTTTGATGACATAACAAAGTTGTAAAGTTGCCTGAAGCTCACATGAGTCAGTTTGTGTAATATAAGACCTTTAATGCCATACAGTGAAACATTACAGGTGAATTAATAACAATCCAGTCGCAAACCTTCCAGCGGAAAAGTTACATACTGCAGCTTTACCTTTAAGTTCTATTTTGGCATTTAGTCTCAGCCTGTATCTGTTTCTAATGGAGTCTTTACACGTTCCCTTCCCATCAGAGTTACAGTATTTCTCAACAGTGTGTGGGTTGACTCCCCCCTGCGGTCCCACCCACCACTCACTCTCCCCCCTCCTCCTCCTCACGATCGCCCCGCTGCGTGGCGTGGGGGTGACGATGTGAGAGCTGACCCCGGACCAGCGGGACGGACCCGGGTGGGATCAGAACCGGCAGCTGGGACAACACGGATCAAAGATGGAAGAGGGAGGGAGGGGAGGGAGTTCATGAGGTCATGCAAGTGGTGAATTACAAAAAGTGCTGTTTCATTTAGTGACTGTTTCTCTCTTTTTCTCCCTACAGTTCCATCGTTTACCTTCACGCCAACAGGTAAGCACATATACACATTTTTTTATTTATTTTTTATCCTGCATAATTTACTGAGGTCAGCATTGGTGTATAAAGCAAACTATAAACATTTAAACTGTAATGAGGTTACAACTGACAAGATAAACCCCATTTTTTGGCTAGAATTCTGGAAACCCGGCGAAGCTTTCTTAGTCCCCGTCCACAGTAGTGCGTATCTGAGTCATTTTCGTTTTAGATGCAGTGTTCGTTCACACTAATCCGATTCAAAATGGCTCCAGAGACGGAACGATCTGGTGCCTCCAGCTCCCACAAATTTATCTGAGTACAGATCTGTTCCAGCACTGTGTGGACACATCAAAACACTGATACACTGGTGTAGGTCTGTGCACCGAGAAGTAATTCACCGCCAAAACACTAAGAGGCTAGAATATCTGTCCATTCATGTGTCTGTGTGTACAACCTGCAGATGTATAATCTCTGAAAAGTTTCACATGAACCATCTCCAACACGACAGAAACACAGAACAGACTCACCATCAGCAGAACACCCCTCTGTCACAGAAAGAACACTCATATTCCACTGAGTCATGTCCTTTAGTCCGACAGAAGCAGAACCACATCACCGCACAATAGTGAGCTGTTTTTTGAGCCCTTAGTTTATGCAAATGAGCCATGTGGATTTAAGTTTTGTTTCTGTAAAACGTAAACAAATCTGCTCAAAGCTGTGTGGATAGTGGAGGTTTGCGGACACAGAAATGAGTCAGTCCTCACTCTGAGCTGCCATGCTCATCTTAAAATCCAGTGTTATGCTAAGTAACAACTGAACCTCGTCATCGGTCCTTGAAAAGTTTTTACACTCACCATCTCCCTCGGCTCAAAATCATCTGCTGCAACTTCAGACTTCCTTGTTTTTACCGCTCACGTGACGAGTGTTTCAGGCGGTTTTGCGTTACTGTGTGGACAGGGAAGGCTTTGATTGCGGACATAGAAACGACGTGTCTGGACGCAGATCGTTCTGATACAGTGATACAGTGATACGTGGATTCGTTTCAGTGTAAATGTAGTCTTAAAGGACACATATGCAAAACTGACACTGAGATTCTAATCATATTATCACATTTCCCCTCGTTGTGAACAGACCTGGATAGACCTGTCACGATTACTATTTCAACTTTCAATATATGAAAGATGATTTTGAGGGTCAGTATTTATAATATGTACATTTTCTTTGCAATAGGGGAGAGACTTTTATCATTTTTACGTGATAAGGTCAGATTTGAGCTGTAGAGAGTTGAATAAATCACTGCTATGGCTGATTATTGCTTCATCTTGCTATTGATTTGTTGCAGCTCAGACCTTTTAATGATACTGTTATTTAATCACTTCACTTGGATTCTCCTGCTTTATGTCAATGGTATACAGTCGTTTCAGTATTATCATTTAACGCAATATTTCTCTGTAGCAATATATATCGTGCTTTAAACATTCTTACCGTGACCATGACTATACCTGGGGTTGTATTGTTGTTATTCACTTTATTCACTGTTTGGTGAATTTTTGTTGAGTAAGTCTCCTCTCTCAAAACATCATAAAAACATGCAGTTTGAAATTTCCAGTTTTTGTGGCATCATAGGTAAAAGTCTGGAGATTTTCAGTGCTGTTTTTAAGTTCATGAATCAAAATCTGAGCATGTTTATGTTAGCATGCTGGGAAAATTTGCTAAAAATAGTATTTACGCTAAACCTCACCCTAACCCCAATTCCCAGTATTGTTATTGGGGAGCACTTCTATGAACTATGTGTAAGGATAGCCATTATTTTAAGTTTTAAAATGTGAAATGCAAAAGCAAAGGCACTCAAGAGCATATTTAATGGCCAGATTAGGTGTCTTGCCCAACCTTAAAAAGCTATAAACTATAAAAGCTATAATGTCTAAGCAAACACTGTGACTTTGGATTATTCATATGAGAAGAATTTGGATGAGACGCTTTGGTGCATAAGATATTTGTTTAAAAACAGTGAGATTGTAACTGTTTACCTTCTGGTTGTCGGTTTAATGCTTAACCTACTGCACCACAATCACCTCCAATCACCAGTTCAAACACATTATAATTCTCTAAAATACAAGAGTGTCTCATGTATGGTATTTTCACTTTCTACCAGATAGAAGCTCTGCACTCAGATGAACCCGCTGTCTCCCATGGGTGTCTTTGTTCAGTGGGTGCTCTGGGGATGCTTGGGTGGGGCCTGAACATGCAAATAAGATACGAGGAGACAATGCAGGCTGGTGTTTGCATGTGGTTCTGTGGCTGTTCACGTTTACCTGCAGGGTACGAGCTTGTGTGTTTAGATGAACACAAAGCTGCGTTAGACAGTTGAACTCATCTGCTCTGGACGTTACACTAAAGATATAAAAGAGTCGTTCAGTTATTTTCATTAAGGATTATTGTAAAGCAAAACAAAAACGTACAACTGCCACACACTATCTCACCGTTTTATTTTCCCCGAGGGGCAGTTTACTCACACTGAGCGGTTAAGTAGAGTAATACCAGAAAAGCTCAAACATGTTAGAGTATTTGGTAACACTTTATAATAACTACACCTTATTTAACCTTAATAAAGCATGAACAAAGACTTAATTAATAATGATTCAAGCTTAGTAACTACTTAATTACAACCTGAATTAGCACTTAATTGCACTTAATTCACCTGTGCTGTAAATAGTTACTCCTAAGTATTTCTTACTTAATTACTCATGAACTAACCATTTGTGTGTACATTTGTAAATGTATATTTAAGTACAAATTTGAGCATTTATTAATGATTAATAAGCCATGAGAGAATGATTTACTAGTAATGCATTATTGTTTCTCTAGAATTTGACCAACCTTAACAAATGCTTAATAAAACATAATTAGTCTTCACTTTAGAAAAGCTCTCAGAAAGACTTAACTAACAGATAACAGCTGCTTGAATGATCATTGCATTGTATTATTAGTAACTCATTCTCTCATAGTTTACTAATCATTAATAAATGCTCACATGTGTACTTAAATATGCATTTGTAAACATGCAAATGGTTAGTTCATGAGTAATTAAGAAGTATCGAGTTACTATTTACAGCACAGGCAAATTAAGTGCAAGTTAAGTGCTAATTCAGGTAGTAATTAAGTAGTTACTAAGCATAAATCATTATTAATTAAGTCTTTGTTCATGCTTAATTAAGGCTAAATAAGGTGTAGTTATTTTAAAGTGTTACCGAGTATTTTTTGAAGATAATGAAGAATTTGAAACTTTGTGTTTATGTGAATGAGTTTTGACTGATTTGCAATGCAAAGTGTTTTGAAAGTTTTTTTTTTTTATTTTTTTTTTTTTATTAGACACTATTATTGATGAAATGTTGTCTCTATAATGACTCTGTACCTGCCTGAGGACGGCAGGTGGACAGGAGTTTGCAACTAAATCTGGCACAGAGCATCTTTTCTATGCATCAAAGTTTTCTGTGCACTGTCTTTGTTTTAAATAAATAAATAAAATGAATAAAAGCATAAATCTCAGCAGCGTCAGAAGCAGAATCATCAGATAGTGTCAGGGCAGTGTGAGGACAGTAACAGCCCTCAGGACAAAAGTGTCCCTCTCCTTGTCTTTCTCTCTCCACTCTGTTTTTGTGAGACGGGACATTCCCTCTGGAACATGTTCTGACATATGTGATGTAGAAATTATTATTACAAGCGTTATTATTACAAGTCTGTAGCATATCAGAGCTAGCATAGATATCTCCAAGACGGGTTGCCATGGATACAGGAAAACAAACTGCTCAAATCAATCAATCACCTTCACTTCTGTCCTTTGAGCTGCACAAACATCGTCAAAAGCCCAAAATGCCAAGCCAAAAGTTCAAGATACAGAAAATCTAAAAAGTTCAAAAACTGCTCAGTGTGTCAGCTAGTCAGCCACAAGAGCAACCAAACACGACCATGGAAAAAAAGAATGAAAATAAAACTTGTGTCTGCAGATTTAACCGTACAAGAGCAGGATACATGCAGTTCCTTTAAAATGACTCACAACATTCATAAATATATTTGTTTTGAAATGAAGTACTTTATTCGTGCAGAGTAAAGTGCAGTGTGGTACATGGACAGTGTTGGGAAGGTGACTTTTAAAATGTATTCCCCTACAGATTACAGATTACATACCCCAAAATGTAGTTTGTAACAGAATCCATTAAATTACTTAAGGTGAGTAATGTAATCTGAATACTTTGGATTACTTGATTTGTTGTAGAGAAGCAAAGACGAGGAAATCTTCATATAAAAAGTTTGTCTGATAAAAGAAAATAAAAAAGCCCAGACTTTATTAAAAATATTATTGATAGAAGAGGACGAGACACGGTCCACGCAGCATGGTTTAGTTAAATCCTGTTTTAGTCCTGGTTTAGTCCTGGTTTAGACCTGGATTAGTCCTGGTTTAGTCCTGGTTTAGACCTGGATTAGTCCTGGTTTTAGTCCTGGTTTAGTCCTGGTTTAGACCTGGTTTTAGTCCTGGTTTAGACCTGGTTTTAGTCCTGGTTTAGACCTGGTTTAAACCTGGTTTAGACTTGGTTTTAATCCTGCTTTAGACTTGGTCTTAGTCCTGGTTTAGTCCTGCTTTAGACCTGGTTTTAGTCCTGGTTTAGACCTGGTTTTAGTCCAGGTTTAGACCTGGTTTTAGTCCTGGTTTAGTGTCTGGCAATGAGTGGAATTACAAAATTACAAAAACAAAAAACAAAAAAAGGAATATAGCCCAAAATGTGAAAATAGGAACATACTGCTGTGTAATCCATTTATTTCAACAAAGTAACTGTAATCCAATTACCACTCACTGAAACAGTAACTGTAACTGAATACAGTTGCTCATAATTTGTACTCTTACATAACTCTGGTCCATGTAATCTGTTACTCCCCAACACTGTACATGGACACAGTAAATCGTGTGGCTCCAGAGGAGACACTAAATGTCACATCTTCTTTTCTCTAAATCCTGTTGATCCTAATCTATAGAACCAATCCTACAACACCTCCATCTGCCCTCTCTCCCTCCACACACGTCCCTCTCTCCCATTTTCCCCTCCTCTCCTTCTCTTTCCTCCTCTCTCCCCTCTCTCTTTCTCTCCTCCTTCTCATTATCCATCTCTCCATCTCCTCCTCTCTTCCCTCACTCCCTCTATTCATTCCTCTCTCCTCTTATCTCCTCTCTCCTCCCTCTTTCTTGTGCTTATAGTGGAAATTAAACTTTTTCTTCTTCTCTATCTGTTCTTCACACACTCACACAAGCTTCAGAAAACATCAACGCTGTAGGATCTCTAAGCTGCTTATACCTTTTCTCCGCTGACTCCTCGTCCTCCAGTTACTGGGTGGCTAAGAACGAAACCCAAATACAAAAAGGAATCAGAGAAGAACATAAAAAAAAATAAAAATAAAAAATAAATAAATAAATAAATAACAGCAACAACAACTATTATTATTATTTATTTATTTATTTTTATTATACTTTCTTTTTAAAATCACAAGAAAATCGAATGTTACAGTAAATACTTCATATCGGCTGCATGGAAACAGAGCAAAGGATCATGGTCTATGTAGTTCCCTCTGTTTTTAGCAACGCCACAAAACAGTGCACGTTTAGTTCAGGAGTAAAGTATTTATTTTATAGTAAAAGTGTGTGGTAATACTCAGAGACTGGTGAATGTTACACCTGTTGTATTTCATAGTATTTTGTTGATGGTCAAAGTACTCATGTAGTATTTTCCTGTGTGTGTTGCAGTGGCCTATCAGAGAGGAGGGGAGGGCGTGAGCAGCGCCGGGAGGTAAGACTTAATCTTATATTTGGAATGTCATATTATATTGATGAACACACTCATTTTATATTTTATTTACACTTTTAATTGTATTTTAGTGTTAATTATTTTATGACAAATGAGCTTTATGGTATGACCAGTACTAATACTGCTGCAACTGCTTCTACTGCAACTGCTACTACAGCCACTACTACATCAACTACTACTAATACTATTACTGCAACTACCACCACTGCTACAATCACTACACTACTACTGCTACTACTACTACTACTACTACTACTACTACTACTACTACTACTACTACTACTACTACTACTACTACTACTACTACTACTACTACTACATCCAGAACTACATGATAACTACTACAGCCACTATTACTACAATTACTATTACTACCATTACTACTACTACTATATCAACTACTACATCAGCTACTACAACTATTACTACAACTAAGACCAATGCTACAATTACTAGTACTACTGCTACTACTACTACTACTACTACTACTACTACTGCTACTACTACTACTACTACTACTACTACTACTACTACTACTACTACTACTACTACCACCACTGCTAAAATCACTACATTACTACTTCTACTACTACTGCTGCTACTACTACTACATCCATAACTACATGATTACTACAGCTACTATTACTACAAGTACCACCACCTCTACAATTACTACTATTACTACTACTATCGCTACTACTACTACATCCACTACATCAACTGCTACTACTATTACTACAACTACCACCACTGCTACAATCACTACTACTACTACTACTACTACTACTACTACTACTACTACTGCAACTGTTACTATTACTAATACTAACACTAACACAATTGCTGTTACTATAACTACTACCACAACTACTACTGCTACTACTGTTACTGTACTACTACTATTACTATAAAACTACCACCAGTGTTACAATCACAACAACAACAACAACAACTACTACTACTACTACTACTACTACTACTACTACTACTACTACTACTACTACTACTGCTACTATAAAACTACCACCACTGCTACAATCACTACCACTGCTACTACTACTACTAACACTAACACAACTGGTATTATACTATTACTACTACCACAACTACTACTGCTACTACTGCAATTATTATTAGTACTGCTAGAGCTACTTCATCTACTATCTACTATATACCTCTTACTATTACTGCTGCTATGATGATGATGATGATGATTGTACACAATGTATTACAACAAAATACAATTTCAAATGTTTCAAATGAATTTCTGTACAAACTGTGAACTCAAATCCACATGTTCACCTCACGTCTGTACAACAGTATCTGTCCACCAACACAGAATAGAACATGAAACTCCAAACAAAGCCTGCAGAGATGCACACACACACACACACACACACACACACACGCACACACACACATACAGAGCAGGGCAGGGCAGGTGCAGTGCCCTCAGGCAGACACTAGGGGGAGTGCTGTGACTTCTCATTGCAGTGGAGGAGCTGGAGCAGAGACAGGGACAAAGACAGGTGCATGCTCAGGAGGCGCCTCAGAATATACACTCCTCCTCCTCCTCTTCCTCCTCTTCCTCCACCTCTCATCTTTCTATCTCCTCCTCTTTGGAAATAAGTGAATAAATAAATAAATACATAAATAATACAAAAATCAATGAAATAAACTCTACTCTACAGCTCCTTTCTTCAAAATAAATAAATAAATAAGTGTTGAATCTTATATAAGTGATACGGTGATACTGTATGTCTTCCTCCCCTCCACTTTTGCTCTCCTTCGTCTCCTCCGCTCTTCATCTCCTCTTAAAATTAAACAAAATAAAATGTTGTTGCTTCTTGATTCTTCATCTCTCCACATTTCCTTTCCTCCTCCACTCCTTTCTTCCGCCCTTCCTCCTCTCCTCCCCTCGTCTTCGTCCTGTCCTCGTCTTCTCCTCCACTCCTCCTCTCCTCCAGCAGGCTGTGCCGGAGCTCCACCAGAGCTCGCTCCCGGTTACACCCAGCCTCGGTGCTGTGTGAGGGGGCAGAGTGGGCCTGTGTCTGGGGAGGGGCTGGTGTGTTTTGGTGGAGATGTGGTGGAGCTGCAGGCGAGGATTCTGTTTGTCTGTGTGGAGTATGAAGACAATAAGAGAGCGACTAGAAGCATCTGAAGCAGACAGTGTGCCTGTGCACGCTCTATAGTTAGAGTCTATGACAGCCGTGGATCATTCTGTTATCATTCAGACATTTGGATTGAAATTGGACATAAATTGCAATACTCGTCTAAAATGACCTAATAAATGAACCGTGATAGAAAAGTGTGGTGTGTAACAGGAGCTGACGTCCCTGTAATCACACCGTCATGACAACAAAGCACCACATGCTGTATGTTCCTCCTATGGATAAATACATCACACTAACACATTTGTTTTTCATTTGTACCAAAATGACTTTGTGACACTGCCAAATCCTATCAGCAATTAAAATTTTAAAAAGTAAATCAAATTGGTGTAGGAAGTCATTTCCTGGTAATGTGCTGTTGTGGTGAAAACAGGTAACCTGACTCACTCTGATACAAGTGTCACTGCGAATTAAATTCTACACATTATCAATCTGGAACAGCTCACTGAAAGTGAAAACACAGAGCGTCAGGATTAGGGGTGTACAAAAATATCCAAATATTGATATATCGTATCGTTTAATGTGATGATACAGTATCGATATCGTGGGCTGCTGTATCGATATATCACCAAGAGTAATATTTGGTATATTTTACAAAATTATTTTGTTACAGCTACAGTTTTGTTGCTTGTTTACTAGAAGGAAACTCGTTTATGTGACACATTTGATATTTTCAGAGTTCTGATGATTAAAATGTTTGTGTTTCATATTCAATTTACACACAAAATGGTTTAACAAAGACTTTTAGTATCACAGCCTTGATTTAGCCTTAATTTTATTGAACTGTATAGAATAGATGTGAAATATATCATACACTACTACTATACACTGTATGGTTGTATGTATCGTATCATGGCCTATGTATCGAGGGATGTATTATATCAGCAGCTTCTTAATGATACCAGCCCTACTCATGATGAATATTTGTGGAACAAGTTAAATAAGCTAACTTGAATCTGTTTAAATCCAGTTGAGACAAAAGCACAGACATGTCCCCTGTCCACAAGTGCACAAAGTGCTTCCCTCTGTGTGTTTTCACAAACTAAATACTCCATACTGACATTAAAATATCCTGAAGTATGTCTGTGAACGTCACCATGTTTGTTTTGGTTCATTTGGGAGTTTCACCTTTGGCCTCTGTACAAACCTCAGTGCTGCGATGTGATTGGTTGGCCAACACCTGTCGGGTGATGTCGCACCGGCAGGTGAACACCAATGTGGATTCACGTGAGTTTGTGAACTCACAAATGTCCTGGGAATCCATTCTGCTGTGAAGGGTTAGAAAACAGGTGCAGATTGGAGCAGTGAGGTGTTGAATAGAGGAGAATAAAGACTCCTGAAACATGCACGACTCTCTTCAAGTACAGCCTCCGAGAGGAAACGAGAAGGAAACAACTGTAACACAGTTAAACGCTCGGAGAAGTCGATTTTGCACAATAGGTCGGCTTTAAGTACCAGAGAGTCGTATTGTTGCTTATTGAATCGTCAGCCTACACAAATATGTCTAACCACATTCCATTGATCCTTTGTGTATATTCAGTTAGTGTCAGCTGCACACTTACCCCCTCTCTGCTCCTCTTCCTCCTCCTCCTCTTCCTCCTCGTACGCCGCTGTCTGATTGAAGAGCCATTGTTCAGCGTAAATTTGGCGCCACAAGACAAATGCGTTCATTAGCCAAAAGCGCTCTGCTAACGGCTCACTGGAGTGGGAACGCCAACACGCCATTCACTGCTCATTTTCTGCGCCATTTTTGGACCCGAATTTGAATAGAGGAACAATCGGGCTCTCGAACATGGCTGCTGCGCTTGTGGATGCTGGATTGGTTAGTTTTATGAGAAAAGTGCTGATGGTATTTATGGCCAGATTAGCTTTTGTAGTGAAGTGGTTAGCCTCGAGCGTGTTGAACTCCGAGAACTCAATTAGACCGGTGTTGTGTGTGGGATCAGATGCCAGAGAGCTTGGCTTGGTTTAGTCCAGGTTTAGTCCCAAGTGCGTTAGATACAGGATCTTATAGACTGGTGTTATGTGGTGGGATCAACCTGCTCGCTGCCACGTTCCAAACAGGAAGTGAGCGTGGGTTCCAGCCCCTCTGTAACTGCTGCTGTCAGGCTCATCATTTTGGTCTTAAATCATAAGCATTAACTCGCTTTCCAAGAGAAATTCAAGTTTTGCTGCAGCAAACTGTTGCAGTTAATGTTTCTACAACATTTACACTGAGTGTCTCAGTGTCTTTTGTGTCTCAGTCAGAGGTCTCAGTGCAGTTTAACAGAAGTACTAGTTTGGTCTGGTCATGCCACCTTCACCTCGAGTCTTTCCTGGACTGTCCCAGAGCCGATTGCAGTGCACCACCTCAGAGGAAGTGTGCTTGGCGAGGGCCAGTATCATCCTCACCCACAAGTTGAATCCCCTGGGCAGACTGCGCTGACCCCACCCATTTACCTCTTTCATGTCCTCCTGAACTCTCTTCAAAATTCTTTTCAACTTTTCCTCACGATTCTTGTCAACTGTTGGTCTTGTGCCGGTATTTAGCCTTAGATGGAGTAACCAAAATGTAACCAAAGTAATGAGTAACGTAAAAAGTTACTTTCCATAGAGCAGGCATGTCCAGACTATGGCTCATGGGCCAAATGATAATTTTTTCTTGGCCCTCAGGCTTCTAGGAGAGTTGGCCCAAATTCCCTTGCATCAATGAAAATTTAGCATTTTATTGCATTTTTTTTTTTTTTTTTTTTTTTTATTGTACCTTGATAAAGCCAATATTTAATATTTAATGTTTGGTTTTAAGGATCTTAGCATGAATAAAGACTGATGGCTCATTCTAATGTGTTCAACATGCACAGATTTCAATTATTCACTGTACTGAGCACCAGTCTACAGCCTCGATCAGCTCTCTGCTTTGTCTGTGTTTTGAGATGTGGCCCTTGATGAAAAAAGTTTGGACACCCCTGCCATAGAGAGTAATTAAGTAAAGTAGGGTATTACTTTTTAAAGAAGTCACGAGGAATGAGCAAACACTATTTTTTTAAAGTAACTTCCCCGACACTGTTCCTCACTTATCTAATGCATTCAGAACATCCTAATGATGAGTTTATGAGCACTTTTCACAAATCTCAGAGGCCAGTTTGAGTTTTGTTGTGATGGTAAAGCTAACAACAACTAGCATGCCAATACGCACTTCCTTCCACTTTATAATCAGATGCAGACAGTGCACGACAGACTTCTTCTGACCTCAAGAGCTCCTTATAGAACACATCTGCACTGGGGCAAGACACGTTTTGCTCAGAGACATTGGAGTCAAACTACCAGCCTTCCCACTGCTTTGTACTTGAGCCTTTTGGCCTCGTCTCGCCCGCTCCACTGACTGCGGAGGCCATGTTGGTGCTGTAATCCTCACACAGGAGCTGGGGGGCGAGCGTGTCGGCTCCACTCCGCTCTTCCTCCGCTCTTTCCTCTGTCTTTATGCGGCGCGTTTTCCACTGTTTACATGGCCAAGAGGGAAACCAAATCCGGATTGCTCACTAATCTCCCTTTTCAAATATTATGTCTGGGTTTATGATAAATGTCACGCCACTGTTGGAGCATGAGTGATTTATTCTATTGTAAACAGAGGAGGAATTATTTTTGAGAGAATGTTGAAAGACTTCGTTCACCGTACATTTTAAACATGTCCGGAAGCAATCACCAAACACTGGAAAAGCAACTGCCAACACTATGAATCACCTGCCATTCTAAATACAACACAGCACATGTTGTAATAGTACTGGGTAGTATTCAGATGCAGTTACTTTTCAAAGTAGTTTTCTAGCAACTTATTTTTATTTCTACTTAAGTAATATTAAGAGTACTCTTCCCACTGTGAGTAAGTCTAAAGTGACAAAAGCTTTACTTGACAATATGAAATGATTTGAACATTTGTGTTTCTTGCAGCTCTTCAGATATTATTTAGTTCAAGGGCGTCAAACTCAAATTCTCAGAGGCCAAAATTAAAAACTGGGATGAAGTCATGGGACAAACTACATATTAATTGAAAAATTTCAACAACATCTGCATGTTTTTTCTTCTTTCGAGATATGTAATGTCAAACCTTTTCTTATTCAAATAAAATTTGTATAAAAATCTGACCATTTACCTTGTAGTTTTGTAATATAATTTTGAAATAACCTTAGTCTTATTTGAGTAAAATCAGCTCTAAACATGATTAACCAGAAGACATTCAAAACATGCGGATGACGTCTTTCGGTGTAGATCCCAACACTAATCATGTGATAAAACTGTGGATTCAACAGTAGCAGCTTCACTACTTGCAAGAGCTTTCCATGAGGGATTGGACTCTAATTGCATCGATGTCACTTCCAGTCAGCTGGTTGTAACTGTTGATCTGCCAAACATAATGGAACGCTACAGTGACATTAGTTAGACAAATTATCATACTCAAATTAATTGGCAATTTATAAAAGAAAAAAATAAAGAATACAATGGCATCTAGATAAAGAAATCCAGGTTATTATCTCAGTTTTCCCCAATTTCGTCAGTTTTGAAGCTGTCATCATCCTGTTTCCAAACTTTTTTTCTGGTTTTGTGACCTAAGCGTGAATAGAAACCATTGTTGACTACTCTAACCATCTTTGACTCCAAGGAAACACAGCGAAATTTGCATTAAAACTAAAACAAAAAGTGCAAAATGACCACTTTATATCCCTAACTGAAAGATTACACTGCAGCTTTTGTTACTTAGTTTGCTGCATTTTTATGGATAATCTATTTGATATTCTTATTTTGTATAACTTCATAACAGCTCATCTCTCATTGCATCCAGTCCCCTCACTAGTCCCACGAGCGTGTCCTTCTAAACTCTTGTATCTTGTTGGTTTCAGGCCTGGTTTGCTGAACATGGGGGAGAACGCCACCCAGCCCTGGCTCGCAGACACCTGGCCCAACTCCTGCTCCAACCACAACGACTGTAGCATCAACTGCTGCACGGCGGGCAACGGCAACAGCGACAGTAACCTAGCAACCTACAGCCGCCCAGGTACGTCCCCCCTAGGGTGTGGTCCTGCAGTGCTCCGGGTGTGAACAAGTCCGACGGGTTAAAATCACCGTCTAACGTGTGAAGTGGGTTGAACTAATGATGAAAGAGGGACTAAACACCTAAACTCCACCCACAAAAACATTTCAGATAGAGCTGCTGAGGACTAAAAGGGTGTGAATGATGGGAAATGGGGGTCTAAAGGTTTAAGGAACAGTGTGATTGGTCTAACCAGTATCCACTCTCCAAACTCCATCTTTGCAGCCAAGTGTTTGTATCAGAAAGACTTGAAGGCAATCTTTTGTGATGTCACCAAGTACTTGAAATTGCAGAGGTCACTGAAGGCAGCACACACTTTGATTTAGGCGTTTTTGATCAGAAAGCAGCACTTGACTTGTAATGACAGATAATGCAGATAAGACTCCTTATACACACTGACTACGTTTACATGAGAGCTTTAATTCTGAATAAAAATCATTACATTTTTAATAAAAATTAATTCTGCTTTTAAAAAAAAACTATGTAAACACTTAATTCCTAATGAAACTGATTATTCGGAATTAAACTTAATTCCAAAGTAAGTGAGTGGTTTATACCAAATTAATTTCTTCCTAGATCATGTTTCATGTTTATTCTTGTTAAAAATAATGTCGGTGGTTCAGTTTATGTTCGTTGTGTCGCCCTTCGATCCGGCTCCACCAGTTCTGTCTTCGGACTTTGATCCATGTCTCTTTGGATTTGTGAGCGGGATGTGGGAGTGGGCTGAGGTAGAACAGTCTCACACTCACTTGTCTTCTTCCTCCTTCTCCGACACTCTTCCCTTCTCCTCCTCAGCTGACAGACATAAAGTGTGATGAGACAATTCTCCAGCTGCTGCTTCGTAATTATCATCAGAACCACTGCAGAAAAAGTTTGGTTCAAGTTTGTGTCCGTGAACGACAAACTGAGATGACAGAAAAGACGGTAGCAGCTGAAGTGTGTGTTTTCTTCTGGTCGACGTAAATACGTTGGTGTCTCTGTCCAATCAGAACCTTCCCCACCCCCAGACACTGAGCGGAATTGAATAACGATGTGAACTTGAAGGAGAATATTTTAATTCTGAACTATTTAATCCAAAACAGTTAATCCGGAAATAAATAAACATCATGTAAACGTGGCCAGTGTTTAGTTCCACTTTAATGTTCATTTGTGTTTCTGTAATAATGCAGGTTAGGGATACAATTCAGTACATTACTACAGTGGATCTCAAACTACTACTACTCACATCAAGTACCAGCTAAGATCATATTTTTAACCAGTTCTACATAAACATTACTACACTGCATTAAGAAAACAGAGATAATAGTGGTTTTATACTTTAACTTATCTTTTTTTTTCCTTTTTAAATAATCAATCGATCTTAGTAATGCAAAGCTACAACATCATGTGGAATATGATCTGATCTTGTAGGAATTTGGATCAAAACTTGCTAAAAAAAAAAGTTACTGAAGCAAAACAAATGTACCATATATAGGTGAAATATTTAGCAGGTGCAGTGGGCTTGCTTCTCCACAAACCTGACTCTTATTTGGTCTAGACGAGGACTTTCTCCTGCTTTTGTTTCTGTGGAAATGTTGTTTGTTTGGATATAATATTTCACAGTATGGCATAAAATGCTTCTATCTCGAGGGAGAATGTTCCGAAGTGCGGTTTTGATGGATTTCTGTTTCCATGGAGTCATGCTGTTGTCTTTCCACATAGTTGTAACGTGCACAGGACAGGTCAGACTAGTCATTTCTCTAAAACAGTTTTGTAGCTTTGCAATTTTGTTTTTTAAAGCTATTTCCTGGTCAGACATATCCAGCCACTGTTTGGACAAGTGACTTTAAAACTGTAATGTGTTATTTATCACTTGTTACTGTCATTTCAAAGTCATTAGTTACATTAAAATATCACTGTATTTAAAATGTAACATATTGTATTACTATTGCAGCACTTTTAAGTTACTCTCCACAAAATAACTGTGAAGATGCTGAACTTTTGCACTGGATATGGACTGAACCAGGACTAAACCAGAACTGAACCACAACTGAACCAGGTCTAAACCAGGTCTAAACAGCGCAGAGTTCTGCACTGGTCCTTTAGCTCATGGTCACCTGACAGTCTACACGGGCGCGTTTCCGGCGTTTCACCGTGGTGATTTTATCGAATTTGTATGAAGAAAAATCCACCACTTTTCCCTGTAATCCGTTAAATTACTGCGTTACACCAAAAAGCAATGCATTACAGTAATTTGTTACATAACACGTTACTCCCAACACTGTATCCACCAGATGTGATAAATACAAAGGTATTTCCATAACTATTACTGGGCAACAATAATGTAAACAAGGGCCTAAATTTTACAATAGTTATGATTTGACTAAAAAAGTAAATTTGTTTTGTTGAACCAATAGCTATCTTGAGGGAGAATGTTCCAAAGTGCGGTTTTGATATATTTCTATTTCCATGGAATCATCATAGTTCATAACATACTATTACACACTATCAAAAAGTTAATGCATGTATATTTCATGATAATAATGTTGCAGGGACATGGTCAGATTGCCGTATAAATCTTTTCAAATGTAAGAATCAATATGAAAAACGTCACTTTTTGAGCTGCAGCGTTAATGTATTTATGCTGTTTTGTTTGTAAACCCCCATTTTGACTCGAGTGTCTTGGGTTTATTTTGGTGGCAGACGGGGGCTTTATTTCTCTGAATGTAAACAATGCCACCCCCCCTCCTCCTTCTTCTTCTTTTCCTCCTCGTGCTCCTCCTCTTCCTCACCAAACAGCAGCACAGAGACGAGCTGTAGAGGAGCGGAGGAGAGCGCAGGATCAGATCTGAACACAGGCTGTATTATATGTGGGTTAGCCCCCTGGAGACCCTGCTCCTCTCCTCTTCCTCCTCCTCCTCCTCCTCCTCTGCAGCTCTGCGTCTGCCTCAGACCTGCTGCAGAAGATCACGAGAACACAGGAGGACACACGCTCGTTCTTCGGAGAGGGGAGAGGAGGGGGAGAGATGGAGAGATGCTCTGGGGAGGGGAGTGAGTACAGTCAAAGGGAGCAGGCAGCCGCTCGCGTTGAGCTCATTTACATAATGGAAGATGCTAATGTCATGGTTGTTGTCACGCTATTGTTTTGTTTATGAAGGGAAATGGAGAACAAGAAACTAAAACATGAAACGAACAGGTTTGTCCAAATGTAAGAGCCCTGTGATAGACGAATTATTATTATTAAACCTCCTGCCTAACCTGGATTTGGCCGACTCACTATGGAGCTCTACACATTTATCAATCTGGAATCTTGGAATCTACGATCAGAACATTCAAACAAACACGTCTTTTAAGCTTCATAACAGCATACAAGCAGCGTAAAATCAATTTTTAGTTAAATCCAGTTGAGGAAAAAGCACAAACATGTGTCCACACAGGCACAAAACTAAACAGTCAGTATTTATGGAAGGTAATTTATTTCATCAGATTTTGAATTTGAAATGCTGTTGAATTTCTCACTTTGAATTTTTTAACTCTGAGAAAACATGTTTGAACATTTTTTTTTTTTCCGAGTAGCAGTTGATGAAATAATATGTGTACAAAGTGTTTAAAATTCTAAAGACAAAAAAAAAAAAAAAAAATCACATTTGAGTGTTCAGCACAAATATTCACCTCAGATTGAACTATCAAAATTCATAGTGTAAAATTCCCAGTGAAAAAAATTAGCAGGAAAGATTCAAGCTGCCAGGCTGAAGCAATCGATCCAGAATGATCCGATCTAACTTAGGGGCAGTCCACACAACAACGTTTTTTGGTCAAAATGAAGAAGTTTGTATTCGTTTTGGTTTTTCATCCACATGGAGCTGGGCAAAAACTGAGTTTTTTGAGAGTTCCAGAGTGGAGAAATCTGAGAACGCTGCCGTCGTGTTGTCATGTGGACGTAGCCTTAGTAACAAACAGGAAATGGTGCAGTGAAACAGTCTGATTGGTCAGAATTAGCCCCGTGAAAACCTCATGATCAATTGCTTCTGCCTTGGCATCTTGGGTCTTTGTTGTGAAATTTTTCACTGTGAATGTTACACTCTTGATAATATGTGTGCTGAATATTTAAAAAGTGAAATTTTTATTTAAAAATTCTGAATAAAAATTATTCATACGTCTTTTTTCTGAGAAATTCAATGGTATTTAAAACTCAAAATCTAATGGAATAAATGATCTTCCAGAAGTATCTTGGTCAGGGTCGCTCTGTTTGTTTTAGGTCATTTGGCGCTGGCTTCCACAGTGCAGCCCTGTGATTGGTCAGTTATTGCCTCACAAATTCATCTGGCTCACAATGTGAACTACTGCTACTATTACACGGATCATGTACTTTGCATATTATGTCACTTGAAATACTTGATTTAAATGTGCCTAGAATTTTTTGTGTCGTACAATTTAAAGCTGTACTACATCACTTTTCTGGTCCACCATCTGCTAGTCTCTGTGGAGCTCCTATTGCCTTAAATGTTCCACAGTATGTCTTAAAATTCATCTAACTTGCATTCAATCATTTACGGGCTTGCCTCGCCACAGATCTGATGTGTAACTTGACTTGGTGGTGTCACATTCTTGTCTTCCCTGAAATACACAAGTTTAATACCAGACTGTAGAACACTGAAAGCTTTAATACCTCCCTGGAGACAAGCAGCTGACCGATCCTTCCCTACAACAGTTATTTATTGCAGCTTTAAATCTTAAATATTTGGAGCCAGACAAAGCGCTTTCACTTTGAAGTATCGTTTCTTCACAGGTTCTGGTTCTGTGCTCAGGATTAGTCTCCATTCATAATCACCTCTGAAAGAATGAAAACTCTATAGGCCATAAAAATAGCACTAGATCATATTTTTAGCTCCGCTCTGACCTGGGGAAGTTGGAGCCGGAGCAGAAATCCCTCAGTTTAGATGACTCACAGTGGGACTAGCATTACCGGGGCAACCATAACTCCAGCTGTCCCGTCTAATATACTGTGTACTCCGGGTCACTCCACCAGCCGCTCCACACCACAAATCTCTCTTTCCTCGCATTAAGAATCTATCCACCAGACCGAACACGCAAATCTGCTGTTTCCTGTGCTAAAAGATGAGTGCGTTTGAGATGTGTAACGTGCACGGGACAGGTCAGACTAGTCATTTCTCTAAAACTGTTTTTTAGCTTTGCAATTTTGTTCTTTATCGCTACTTCCTGGTTGGACATATCCAGCCACTGTCGGGCAAGTGACTTTAAAACTGTAATGTGTTATTTATGACTTGTTACTGTCATTTCAAAGTCATTAGTTACATTACAATATCACTGTGTTTAAATTGTAAGGCATTACATTACTATTGCAGCACTTTTAAGTTAATCTCATCAAAATAACTGTGAAGATGCTGAACTTTTTCGCTGTATATGGACTGAACCAGGACTGAACCAGAACTAAACCAGAACTGAAACAGGACTGAACCAGGACTAAACCAGGTCTAAACCAGAACTGAACCAGGACTAAACCAGAGCTGAACCAGGACTGAACCAGGTCTACTGAACCAGGACTGAACCAGGACTAAACCAGAACTGAAACAGGACTGAACCAGGACTAAACCAGGTCTAAACAGCGCGGAGTTCTGCTTCGGTCCTTTCGCTCGGGGTCACCCCGCGGTCTACACGGGCGCGTCTCCGGCGTTTCACTGCAGCTGATATCGTGGTGATTTTAGCAAATTTGTATGTAGAAAAACGAAAAACCCACCACTTCAATCCAGGTGAAAAAACATTATAACGTGCGTTACTCACATTTGTACCAAGTAAAATATTACTTTTCCCCCTGTAATGCATTACATTACTGTGTTACAGCAAAAAGCAATACATTACAGTAATTTGTTACTTTTATGAGACGTTACTCCCAACATTGTATCCAGCAGATGTGATAAATGCAAAGGTAATTCCATAACTGTTACCGGGCGACAAGAATGTAAACAAGGCCTAAATCTTTATTTTGTTGAACCAGTAGCTGTGGTTGCATGTGCACTCAAAATATCAGAGGTTTTTTAGAGAAAAGACAAATAAAATAACATTTAAACAGCAAAATCATCAGATTTCTCTCTGATCACTCACGTCAGATTTTGCAGTTTACATGTCATCTATGTAAGTCATGACAACACATGTTGAAGTGTGATGTATAGCTGATGTAAATATAGAAAATAAATAATAATGCTGAAACAAATGTATCACCCATGAGCAGATTTAAACCACTGTTCTATTCTAAATGTATCATAGTGTTCAAAATCTTAAAATGCAAGAAATAATTAACAGAATGCAACAGTTAAGTGGTTCGTTTGTGTCTACAATAAGTCACAGAAGTTCATAATTCAGCCCTCTACAAATCTTATCATAGTTCAGAAAAATAACAAAACAAGTGCAATCAGAGATAACAACCTGGTCCCCATGAGGCGTCGGTGGGTCAGTTCATCAGCACAGAAGCAGTTTATGAGGAGTCCAGCCCATATCACATGATCATTATATCCACAATGCAGTGTGTGTATGTGTACAGGCCCATGAACATTTGTGTGATGTTGGTCACACATGAGAATGTCTGTGTTTACTTTTTCTGATATTTTGAGACGCTCCCGTCGCTCGAGCTCGATCCTTCGCGGAGTTATGACCGCATATTTGACCTTGGTTACCTTGACCTTCAAGTGACCTTGACCGGTTTCAACCTGTAACATCCAGTGTGCCCCGGTTATGTGTGTGCCAACTTGTGTGATGATTGGGTGAATATTTTAGGCCACAGATGGTTCAAAAATTGCCGATATTGCCTAAATCCTTTATAATGGTGTGACCTTTCAATTGACCCTTGCGACCTCAAATGACCTCGGATCATCACCAAACTTTTTTTTTTTTTTGAGGCATTGGGCACGGGGGCTTGACCCATGGACTAGATTTGGTGACAGTTAGTCCATAAATGGTGGAATTATTGCAGGGAGACAAACACACAGACACACACACAGGATGAAGGCAAAACCTGGTCAAATAAATAAATAAAAATCCTACAAGTACAACAAAAAAGTCCTCAAAATAAATATTGACTCCCCCCAAAGTAACTGTTCCATCTGTCATGTATTGAACGATAAATCAATATAGTATTTATCGACAGGCCCATGTTTATGTAATCTTAAAGGTCCAGAAATCAGATTATAATCAGAGTTTGGTGTGTATAAACTGTCAGAAAAATGCCTTCCTTGTGCGTAAATTGTCTCTGCATTTTGGATAGAGTTTTCAGTGTTGGTGGTATTCAGAGTCATTCAGAGCCACCTCCTGTATTTTTCTACTTCTCTTTTGATGTAAAACCTTCTATGTACTGAAACAAAATCTTGCGGATATGTTTTGATCGAGCTTATTTTACATAACATGTCTTCTTTAACACAGAGGTCTCACTCTTGCCAGCAGCGCGCCAAACCCTAAGCGCGGCGCATTACGAGGATCACTGCCTCGGTGACAGAGCAAAGCAATAGGAGTTAATGTCCCTTTATGTGAGCCATAGGGCACCTCTCAAACGCGGCGCTTTGAAGTGTCTCGCTGAAGCCACCCACACCGCGTAGTACCCACCCTGTTCAGGCACTCAGCACCCGCCCGGGCACCCGCAGCCGTACTCGCTATTTACCGCTTTGCTCAGCTTGGATCGTCGGAGGATTTGAATATTTTATGAGGTGCGGAAAATTGGATGTGTCAGATGAGATGTGCAGCCTTTGATTCCGACACGTCTCCCCGTCCCAGTCGATGAGCGGGGAGCGGCCCACAGCGCCAGGGCCGGGGAGGGGCAGGGGGAGGGGGGCCGGCGGCGACAGCTCGCGGTGAGTTATGGCTAAAGCCCAGGGAGAAGGCAGAGTGGCCAGGCAGCTAAAGAGATTTATGTTTGGCAAAATGATGTATGGTAAAATTGTGCGTGTGAAAATGAGCAGTTAAATCCTTTTGGACCAGTGGAATTACAAAACCTATTTTATTAATGCCACGTTTTGAAATTATGCAACGCAGTGCTGAGAATACTGATGGGTGCTCCGTGTTCTGTTGTAATATTTTTAACACATTGTTGACAACAGGCAGGTTAAGTCTTCTTCCCCCAGTGGTTTCATCAATAATTAATATACAGATTTAATTGTATAATGCATATTCAAATGATTATATATTCTGAGAAATAACCTACTTTTTGCTGTTTATTCTGTCTCAAGGCTGCAGTATTCTTGTTTGCATATTCCCATCACACCAAACCAAAGCCAAGGCCCTGTTCTAAAAATCTGCTTGCATCTTTCATGAAATTTAGACCTTATATATCTACTGCGAGACCCACTGTCTAAACACACATGTATGCAGTGAAAATTCATATTTCATTTAAAGCTACAGTATGTATTAGGGATGAGCATTCAGTGAAATTTTCTTAATCGATCGTCGGAAGAATTAACGATCGATTATCGATTCATCATTAACGTTTTTATATTAAAATGATCATCATTATTATTACTATCTGCACTAATCTGCATAAATAAATTCAACTTTATGACATATAAACCGTAACCACTCTAGAGCCACATCAATCTGTTTGACATTATAATGTGTTTAATTCAGTTTTGCGCAACTTTTTACAGAAACAAAACTTAAAACTGCATTGCTAATTTGCATAAACTAAGTGAAGATAAAACTACAGCTCTAGTGTCGCTGATGTGGTTCAATTTCTGTCAGATTAAAAGACATGACTCAGGTGAATACAGGTTAGTGTGACCAGATTTGCGTTTGTCAAAACCAGGACACCGTACGGGGGGAGGGAGGTGGGGACTCGTCATCCACATTGTGTGACTCTCACCTGGTAAAGCTTTTTCTCACTGGACACAGAAACACTGTGCACATGGCCTCCCGCTTGTCCTGAACGGAACGGAAAGCGTGGAATTTCTTGTAAAAGTCATCATTGCACATCGTTTGCATTTGCACTTCGGTACGTTACAGACTGACCGACTGTTTGTGTCTCGCTCCTTCTGAGTGCAGAGCTACATGTACGGACCCCCGTTTGGTCACGCTACACACAGCAACCTACATTCGGTTTGTCGATTAAAATGAACGTAATCTATGAAATTCTTAATGATCAATTATCGATTAATCGACTAATCATGCCCATCCCTAGTATGTATGCCTGTCACTTACTTGATTCCATGGAAATAGGAAGCGAAACCCATACTTCAGAACATTCTCCATGGAGATAGTTATATGTTTTATGCCATACTGTGGAAGCTTATAGCTGAAGGAATAAAATTTCCATGGAAACAAGCAGGAAGATGCCCTCTTCCCCTGAGTCAAATAAGAGTCAGCTTGGTGGAGATGCAAGCCTGTTCACATTAAGGACCGATGTTTTTCAAAGATTTTCACAACCACAAATACCATAAAAAAAACAACAACAAAAAAACATACATACTGTGACTTTGAAATATGTACACAATTCAACAAACATTTTTGACCTCGTACATTAAAAAAAATGTGTTCCATAAATGTGAAAGTTGCTGTTGTTTCTCCAATTATCTTGATCATAATACATTCTAAAAAAGGTGTAAAAAGGTGTAAAAGGGCGGCAGTAGTTCAGTTGGTATTCGTCCAGCATTCAGTCAACCATCTCTGATCCACTGACCCACAGGTTGGCTGGTGTGATTCCAGCTCCCACAAGTCCTGTGTCCTCACACTGGTGTGTGAAGTGTGTGAATGTAAAGTGCTTTGAGTGCCTTGAAGGTGGAAAAGCGCTATAGAAAAATGTGACCATTTACCATTTTTCTGTCAGCCCAGGTCGTGAAAAATAAGGCCCGCTGACTTAAAACATAACCCAAACAAACATTTGAGTACTGCTGAATAGAAAGGCTACTCCCTATGAGCAGTTGGGTAAATAAGAGTGGTGATAGTGGACATCCTTGACCGAATCTCCCCCATGTCCCTTAGCCGACTGCATCGCCAGCTACAACAACCAGCTGGACAACAAGCAGGCCAACCTCATGGTCCCAGAGTCCGGGGTCTACAGCGACGTGGACCTGTCCAACAAGATCAACGAGATGAAGACCTTCAACAGCCCCAACCTCAAAGACGGACGATTCGTGGGTCCTGGAGGCCAGCCCACCCCTTACGCCACCACCCAGCTCATCCAGTCCTCCATACTGGGCAACAACATGAACGCCGAGCGCGGGGGGAGCGGGGGAGGAGGAGGCGGGGGAGGCCTGGGGGGAGGGGGGGACGTCAACGAGAAGCACTGTTGGAAGCCCGGGCACCACCAGAACATCATGGAGCAGAACAAGCTGAACAAGGGTGAGTGTGGTGGACCATCCGTTATGGCGAAACATCTCTACTCAAGTCTTCACCCTCCATCAGCTTCTTCACTCGTCTTCTTCCTAACTTTTGGAAGACTTCCATTTTTCCTGTTTTTCTTTGCTTCCATAACGCTCCTGTTTGACATTTCACTCCTACCTCTCAAAACGCAGTGCTGGATGAAGTACTCAGTTTTGTTACTTAAGTAAAAGTACAGATACAGAGGCAAAAAGGTACTCAAGTAAAAGTATTACATTAAAAATATACTGAAGTAAAAGCATAGAAATACACATTTAAAAAGAGAACAAATGAAATCACACAGATTTTGAGAACAGTTTAGATTTACTGATATGCTTATTTTTGGTCAACTGTAGCAAGAAAATCAATGCATTTTTGTGAATTTTGCTAACTCAAAGCCGACACTTAAAAACCTTTAGTTAGGATGTTCCCATGCATTACTTAAACTCCTCAACCCATTTGAAAAATATTTTAACTTTTCAGTCCTTTTCGAAATGTTTTGGAGTAGAAAGTACAAATACCTGCTCTCAAATGGAGCAAAGTGAAAGTTAAAAATACCTAGTGTCAAATTTACTTGAGTAAAGTACAGATATCTAATCATTTTTTTACTTAAGTACAGTACTTTTCCTTTTGTGCTTTGTTACTTTGCATCACTGTCAACATGAATTTCTTCTGTGTCTGTATTAGTCTGTAATGTGTGACTGTCGAAAACCAGGCAGCTCTGAAAAGCTCTCCATGCAGTTTGTCTTCGTGCTTATCTTTGGGAGCACATTTTGGATGAAATGGCAAAGATAAGAAAAGGGCTTAAACAAAGCTATCACTAAATCCGTGTGTGTGCTGATAGTTTTGAGTACTGCATGAGCTTCAACTGCATGTTGTGTTCACTAACTCAATAATGTGCAGAGTTCATCTTCTGGAATTTGATGACTGCTGGGCAGTTTGTTGGTGCTGTATGAAATGAAAGTAATAATAATAAAAAAATAAAATAAAAATGACACAATGACAACTATTTTAAAACTCTGATTTGACCATTGGAGGTTTTCTCTTTGATTATTTCTTATAGATCAAATTAAAGGCCCTGTACCTGACTTGTTTCTATTTGAGCAGTATGTGTCTTGCCCCTGTACAGATATATTGTAGCTCTTCAGGTCAAAATAAGTCTGCTGTGGGCCTTTTGCATTTAATTATAAGTTGTCAGGAAGTGTGCATTAGCATGCTAGTTGTGGTTACCTTCACAATGACTTCAAAACTCTGCTTCACTCTCTGTTTTAAATGAACTACGTCTGTGTTTATGTTTTTCAGATAATGAAGTCAAGTACAGTGCCTTTAATTAATATAAAATAAAAACTAAAAGTTACAAAATACATTGCAGCTGCCATCCATCTGATATGCTCACAAATTCTAGAAGGAGACAAAGGATTTAAGGATTCTTGTAAATTTGTCTTGCGTTTGTCCATTACCCAGACCGCTACAGAGGAGGAGACAGCCCCATGCCAGCCACCATCCCCTACAACCAGCCCCACGACAGCCACACCGGGGGCTCCTACAACAGCTCGGACCGGGGCAGCAGCAGCACCTCAGGTAACACAAAAAAATTATCACGTGACTTTCTTGGAGCCACATCGCGAGTTTGATTTGATCACCATTCATATAAATGCAGTATCTTGGAATTGCAATGAAAAGGTTACTCAAGTGTTCTCTTTCTTCTCAAAAATTACACTTCATTGCAATTGGTTAAATCCACCTGTCACTCACTTCTGGAGCATTTGCGAGGCTAACCAGAAGGCGCCGTAGGCTGAAAAGAAGTCTGAGTTTAAGTGTAGAGCTGCATACAAGAGAACATTCAGGAATCACACATCATGATTCGATTGATGCGTAGTAGTGGGGAGGGAATTTGTGCAATATCATAAGGATTGTACACTTCTGGAAAAGTTTTTGGTTTTTGGCAGGGTGTTAGGTATGGGCCTAAGGTTTTTAAAAATCCATGGATACAAGTTGGGGTGCGCCCCCTAGTGTAAATAAAATCCAAAATGGCCCCCGCTGAATAGAGAAAAGGTTGTATTCCACCTTCCTTTTGTCTTAAATAGTTGTATAATGATTTTTTTTTTTTTTCTACTTGACGTGAAGTAATGTGATTTCAATATTATCTTCCTATTTTAAGGCCTTTTTCATGTCAGATTTATTGTAATGGTCACTTTTTGCTTGAAAAATGGTCCATGTCTCTGAAATGAAATAACATACTGTATAAAGATCATTCAGGCCCATATGCCATAAGTTGTAACACATGGAGAACTCTGGCACCATGAACCAGGACAATGGTCCTTTTGGTCACCACACTGACACTATAGTTAAAGGTTAAACACAGGTATTTAGCAGATGTTTTTATTCAAAGTGAATTGGACTCACAGCAGAGAGACTGATGCAAACCACTGCTCCAACACACCTACATAGTGACTTGTCCAATCAACAAAGAAAAACACCTTGGAGGTAAAACCCTACCTCCTAAAGCCCTGAGTAATAAATGTGACTTTTTCAGAGAAATAGACAGTTTACACATTTGTTAAATATGACTATTATAATAGATTTTAAATAAAAATGTACTAAAAATAAGAAGAATATATCCAAATTGAATTCCTTGTATCAAATAAAGTAGAAAAACTACATTATACAACAATTTAAGACTAAAGGAAGGTGGAATACAACCTTTTCTCTTTTCAGCGGGGCCATTGTGGATTTTATGTACACCGGCCACTAGGGGGCGCACCCAAACTTGTATCCATGGATTTTTAAAAACCATAGGCCCATACCTAACACCCTGCCAAAAATCTAAAACTTTTCCAGAAGTGCACTATTTTCATAAATTCTCTCCTGGCTATAGCACTACACTGGAGGAACATTCTAGATCATATTCTCATTGAATTGTAAATGAATGTGCATAGGTGGTGTTCCTCAAGGTGTGTTAGTTTCCCCATTCAACTTCATTCAAAAAGCTTATATACATACTCAAAATCTGTCTCTGCTTCATACAACTTACAAGCTCAAAGTTCAGATGTAGTTGGAGAATTTAAATAACTGAACAAAATATATGCCCTAGTCATATTTGATGTTTTTTTTTTTTTATTGCTAGGCTCACTGGCTTTGAATCATATGTGTCTCCAAGTCTGTGCTAACCTCAAGCTGGGATAATATCAGTGTAATTGTATGAGTGTCCTGACAATTGGCTTGTTTGTGTATTTCTTTATTTTATTTTACTTTTCAGAAATTGACTAGCTTTAATTTGCCAATATTGATATCAAATCTGTGGTAACCGTACAATTAACTTATGAAGCTGCACAAAATGAACCTCATTTTCATTGTACCAGAACATGCACTGCCTTTCTTCCCCAACAATAGCATCTTTAGCTCTCTTAATTGCTAGATCATAGAAAATTAACACCTGCGTCTCTTGTCTTTCAAATTTTAATTCATAATTTTATTTCATTCTTTCTCTTCTTTCATTATTTTTTTTCCTTTTGTTGTTTGTACCATGTCATCACTCCTTCCCCCACTGTAATTTAAAAACCAATTTTCCTCAAAAGCAATAAATCAGTGTGAGAAGTTAATAAGGCGTGCTTTAAAATGGTAATGTGATTAATTTCCATGTCGCCTCATCTTAAATCTGGGTTCAAACGGAGATGCCAGAGGAAAGTCCCAACACAAACACACAGGGTTATAAATAGGTTAGAGCCCACTGGCTTTGATTCCATCATATTTACTATTTTATATTTTCTTACTTACTGGACCTAAATATTTGATCTATCACAGATTTTTGAAATGTTATGTTTTTGTTGATGTTGTTTTTTAATGAACAATGTTTGAGGAATTAAAAATGTAAAATATAATACAATACAAATATTTTTTTAGTATAGTTCCTGAAAATATAGTCAAAATATGTGATATATCAACATTATATTTATTAATTCATGGATTTATTTTTGTATTTGTTCACTGTTACCATCACATGCAGCACAGTGGCATAGAAACAGGGTTCCGGGTTTGATTCCCAGGTTGCCCAAGCCTTTATGTGCGGACATTGTTGTCTCTGTGTCTGGGTGGGTTTCCTCAGCTCTGGTCTCGTGGGTCAAATGCAGAGGATACATTTCTGTATCTTAACCTATCTGACCTTAGCCACTCAGAATAAGCTTCTGAATTCAAGTTATTGTCCTTTCACTCTGTTCCTTTGCACACATTTGTTTTGCCTCCTTCATGTTGTGCATCTATCCTTCATTTACGTTAGCATAATTGGAGCAGTAATCTGGTTGTGCACTAATGTCCGCGGGTGGACAAGTACAAATGGCGGCGCTGTGCAGACGACATGCTAGGCTGCTACGCTAATGCCACATATCAATTCTGCGGCGCGCTGGAACTTTGGAGTTATTAAAACTCAAAAGGCGTTGTAGCGCTCGCCGCACCTCACAGCTCATTGCTCCGGACTCCTAATAGTTTGGTTTAATTGGAGCCGTTCGTGCCATTTCCTCGGAAAACCTTTTGGGCACAGGGGGAAAATTGCTGCTTTATAGTTTTTCTACATCAATTAACAAGCGAGAGGTTTGAAAGCACCAGGCGCGACCAGAGGCCGCCTCAGTCTCTGCACTCTCTGGTGTAAAATGATTTCTCCAGTTAATACGGGATAGGGAGTTTTCTTTGCTAAATGAGTTTGTTCATGTTACGACTAGCAGCCACTCGGGGCTATAATGCACACTGCGCCAGTGTCGCTCTTCTTCTATTTATTCTACAGTATTTTCAAGAAACAGCTCACAATAGTGTCCACAAAAGCCGAGCCTCCTAATTCTCGATAGTAGTGAGCGGATCAAAACCAAATATCAGTAAATAATACATATTAACAAAGCTATCATAAAAAAATATTGATTCATATGCAAAAATTTGACACTTAATAAGTCCATCTGTCCTTTTTCTTCAGCTTATCCGGGGACAGGTCGAGGCAGCAGTTTAAGTCTACTTAATAAGTGTGCATTTTAAATACATGTTTTAAATATTAGTTTACAGATTAAATTTTTACTTCAGAATCAATGCACTGGTATCGATGCCACACATTGGTACCTTTGTTAGATCAATATTGCGATACTTGCCACAGTATTACTTGGTATCAGTGCAAACAAAAATCACTGGTATTGTCCATCACTGCAGGATATTTATTAAACCACATGCCCATTTCTACAACAGAACTAAAGAACTGAACTGTATAATGTCTGTTTTAGAAGAAAACTTTTGTTCACTTACCCAAATGTTGTGTTTACGTGTGGAGGAGTGTACAGTAACATGAATAATGGCACAGACACAGAATGTGACATTATCACATCATGTGGCTGTACAAGGGCATGAAAACACAGAACAGAACCACGTTTCTTTGCACATCTATGTATAGCAGTAGTCTGAAGTCCTTGAATTGTCTGAATTGTATGATTCACTCAACTCTTTCTTTTGTTCGGGAGCAGGAAGCCAGGGCCAGAAGAAGGGCATGCGGACACCCAAACTGCCCAAACAAAGCACAATGAACTGGGCCGACCTGCTGCCCCCGCCCCCTGCTAACCCACCCCCCGGCCGCACCGCCGACGACTACGCCATGACCATGCAAGACGGGTACGGACTCATTCAGAGAGGACACATCTCTGACATTTCATCCTTTTAAAACTTAGAGAACGGTTTTGTGTGTCTCTGTCCAGTGTAAAACTTGAATTAGGTGGCTCCCTCTGTTGGCAGGAGAATGGAGCTGACGGGGTGCACCATGATCAGTGTAGAGTAGAGTAGCTAGTTTCACATCCGGTGTGGTCTAATACTCCATTAACTTGTTCCCATGAAAAAAAAAAGAAAAAGAGTTTGTTGACACCAGATGTGATGGCGTGCAGTTCCACTCTTCAGCCAATGGTGTCAAACCTCAACGACAGCGGCTGCAGCTGGATCCTCTTGAAAGAGCCTTGAATGGCTAATTACAGCATGGTTACCTACCAATCTGATCCTAACAGACAGATGATTTTAAGATGAAGACAGTGAATCGTTGGAATAAGCAGAAGTCATGAGGCAAAGCTGTACTAAGTCAAGATGTTAGTTCAAAAATCTTTCAAATATCCCTTTGAATGTGAAACTTTTCCTACCTTAATCGAATGTGCTTTGTTTGTCCAGCTGTGACCCGGACATGCAGTGCCCCATGACCCCCTCGCACATGTACCTGCAGCCCGACGAGCTGGAGGAGGAGGAGGAGATGGAGAGGGGCCCCACACCCCCCATCAGAGGGGCCGCCTCGTCCCCCGCCGCTGTGTCCTACAGTCACCAGTCCACAGCCACCCTGACCCCCTCACCTCAGGAGGAGCTCCAGCCCATGCTCCACGACCCGCACGACAGCCACGAGCGACGGTGAGTCGGGGATGGGTGCTCAAGCTCTCAACTGGGGTTTGGTTTAGTTTTTGGGATTGAAAATTGTGCATTCCAGTCACCTTGGAGTCTGGATTTTCTGAGTTCTCTCTTGTATATGACGACTGGAACAGCCCACAACCTCAGAATTTTAACTCAGAAAGTTGGAGAAAATTTCAGAACCCAAGTTAGAAAATCCAAAATGGCTGCTCCAGAAAGTTAAAATTTAACTCTGTTATGCAAATGTTGTTAACGTCTACATAATCAGTGTTGGGAAGGTTACTCTGAAAATGTATTCCCCTACAGATTACAGATTACATATCTCAAAATGTAGTTTGTAACAGAATCCATTAAATTACTTAAAGTGAGTGACATAATCTGAATACTTTGGATTACTTGATTTGCTGTAGAGAAGCAAAGACTAACAGTGCAACATAAGATGTTTTGTCTGTTAAAAGACAATAAAAATCCCAGACTTTTCTTAACCGTATTAAAAATATTATTGATAGAAGAGGAGGAGACACGTCCGTGCAGCATGGTTTAATCCTGTTAAATCCTGATTTAGTCCTGATTTAGTCCTGGTTTAGACCTGTTTTAGTCCTGATGTAGTCCTGGTTTAGACCTGGTTTAGATCTAGTTTAGATCTAGTTTAGACCTGGTTTTAGTCCTGGTTTAGACCTGGTTTAGTTTCTGGCAATGAGTGGAATTACGGGGGGGTATAGCCCAAAATGTGAAAACATTTCAACAAAGTAACTGTAATCCAATTACCTCTCATGGAAACAGTAACTGTAACTGAATACAGTTACTCATAATTTGTACTCTGATAATGTAACTCTGGTACATGTAATCTGTTACTCCCCGACACTGTACATAACAAAAGCAGAAATTCACTCTCAAGTGTTACTTTTTGAACAGTAAATGTCATAACAATGTCCAGAAAACTAAACAAACCTTTAAAAGCCTTGAACAAAACTAGTCCTGTGTGAATTCTACTCAGATGGATTCAACTTGAAGTAGGCACGGACCAGTTCTTGTTTTTGTGGATTTTTGAGTTGAAAACTTGTTCTCAAACTTGCTAGAAGCTACTAACTCAACTCTGACATATCCAAAACTAGTCCTGTAGTAAGTAAACAATGTACACAGTGTGACTTGAGGCGACTTGAGAACGCTTTGGCCTGCAGACTGGAGACTGGAGTAGCAGAAACATAGAATACAGAGCGTCTCTCCTCCTTAACATTCACCTGTAGCAGGCCGTTAGCCTCCGCGCCTGTCACTCTGCAGATGGATTGCTTCTCACACAGAACCATTTCAGAGCGGCTGCAGACTTTTAATTTTCTCCCACTTGACTCAGAGTAAAACATATCAGCCAAATACAAGTTCACAAAGGGCCACCCTGTCCAAAATAGATTTTTATAAAACTACATTACGTGCTTTTGTCGTCTACAGAAAGAAAAGTATCAGCCATCATAGAACCTGTCAAACCACAACGTCAATAAAGGAGAAACAAAGAAAATAGGTTTTAAAGGTGCACATTCAAATTGGGACTGAACCAGGACTAAACCCAAAAACTAAACCTGGACTAGACCAGAACTAAGCAAGAACTAGAACCAACCCAGGTCTACATCAGGACTAAAATTAAGAGCACAAATCAACTCACCTGTTGCGGTTCCAGCTGAGTCAGTTCTGGTCAGATTGTGTTAAAAGTATAACAGCCCTAAGTAATGATTTAAGTTGTGCAGAAGGGACTCACACGGATTTGATTTTTCTTTGCAGACGTCACGGAATGAGCCCGCCGCCCCCTCCTCGCCCCCACAGCCCCTCCCACACGTACAGCTACATCAGCAGCCCGCTCGCCCTGGACACGGACGGCCTGGACGAGACTGAAGAGGACATCCCGGAGGGGGAGGAGGGCGAGGACACGGACGCTGAGATGGCCAAAATGCACTACCACCACCACCCGCACCTCCACCCACACCACGCCCAGCCCCCACACCTGCACTCCCACTCCCGCCGCCTGCTGCTCAGGGGCCTGGAGCAGACCCCCGCCTCCAGCATGGGGGACCTGAGAGAGAGCCCTGGACCGACTCCAGCTCCATGGGGGACCTGGAGGGGTGGGGGTCGGCGTCGGAGGAGGATAACGCGTCTTCGGGCCGGTCCAGCGCGGTCAGCTCCTCTGATGGCTCTTTCTTCACCGACACAGACTTCGCACAGGCGGTGGCGGCGGCAGCGGAGTACCAGGGGCTCCGGGTCGGGCCCAAGTATCACACGCAGGGCCCGGAGTGTGGGGCCAACTCAGGTAGGTGCACCAGAGGAGAGAGTCTGTTTGAACTGCTCTAGGCTGTAGTGGTACATTAGCCTCCACATTGAAACATTCAGAGAATGTACGAGTCTTCTAATAGTAAAATACATTATGGTATATAATCTTGAAATAGTTTAGAATACCATATTAGGGTGGGCCATCAAAGCATGGTAAAAAAAATAATGTTTCAGATAACCTCGATTAAAATCCAGCATCAACATTTAGTATCCAAAAGATGATTTATGAAGAAATTTTGAGTAAAAAAGAAGATGTTTTAGACGTTGCTCAGTAGTTTCTGCATGAAGTTTTGAAGCTCCTGCAAATGATTTGGTTTTCCTTAAGAAGCTGACACAGCTGAAAATTCAGTTGTGAAGAAAGCAAGTTAACAGCTTTTGGCTAACATCTTTGGGACTTGAGTGAAGAAATGTTTGGATTGGCATTCTTCACTCCAGTGTGACAGAAGAATAGAAGAAGTTGATGGTTCACAATATTATGGAAAAGGAAGATTCAGAGGTTCCACCAAATCAACGCGACGCCCTTAATCAAGCAGATTATGAAGAGAAGCAGATCAGGGATTTGTCACCACCAGCATGATGTGTTTCTTTGAAGCAGACTTTCAGAAAGTGCTAAAACTGTGCAGTCCAGGAAAGGTGTCAATGATGTTGCTGAATTTGAAGCTTATGCAAGATTTGAACTGTAGAAGATCACAAACAGGATCGACTGCAGGGGTCAAAGACACAGGAACATGTTTAGCGACTCCAACAAAGCCACAGTAGAGCTGGACTTTCTAAGTCACTTTTTGTGGACTTTATGGCCTTTCTAAGTATTTTTTATGCAAGTTTCAGTTTGTTTTCCAGAGTAAAATGACAAATTATTTGAATAGGCCTTATTTATTTGGTTCTGTGTTATAGTATCGACACTATAGGGACATTTTCAACCTCTAAATATGAATACATTTGCATACAATTTTGACCCAAATATTTTGGCCAAATCTGGAACCAAATGCAGAGTTTTAATCTAGAGAATCTAAAAAACTATATTTTTGGACCACCCTTCATACTATAGGAATAAATGGCCAGTGTCAATAATATCAGTATCAGTCTCTTTATAACCCCACTGTGATCACTGTATTATATTAAAAGTATAGTCTCACGTATTCTACTCTCCTGTGTGACATTTCCATCTAAGCCATGCAACTTACTTAAAATTGGAAAAGTTTGAATATTTGAATTCCATTTCTGTTTGTCCTTCCAGCACGAAAATACCAAATAGCAGGGTCCGGCATGCGTCCAGCCAGCCCCGTGTCCACAGACAGTAACATGAGCATGGCTGCGGTCCAGAGGAGGCCTCCTAAGAAACAGAAGCAGCATCCAGGAGGACAGCGGCGTGACCCGTACAATGAAGGTACTATGGAACGAAGGTCTATGTGCTGCTTTATTCTACTTCTTGGCATTTGCTGCTCTCCATCTAAAGGAACTGGATAAATCATTGAAGTGTTGATTTCCTGGCGTTTGCGGGCGTTGTCTATACTGGCTATGTCAATAGGAGCAGCTAAATGAAAAGGAAGCCAGCAGCAGAAGCAAACTAAATTATTAAACACATTTATTAGCTTGGCAAACACACTGGTGAGGAGTTGATGTTTTATTTACTAGGTTGGGTATTAGCTTGGGTTAGAAATTGTACGGTTCCGGAATTATTTTTTTTTTTACTCCTCACTATGAGAAAGTAAAAAAGCTGCAGGATGTAACTGGTGAAGGGTCTTGTCTCCATGGAGGTGTTATTGCTTTTCCTGGAATGTTTCCAGTGTTGGGAAGGTGACTTTTAAAATGTAATCCCCTACAGATTACAGATTACATACACCAAAATGTAGTTTGTAACATAATCCATTAGATTACTTAAAGTGAGTAACGTAATCTGAATACTTTGGATTACTTGATATTGTCATGCATTTTAAAACTACATGAATGCAGCGACCACATCCTGAAAATTCCTTTTTGTTCTTTTCAAATTGGTTGTTGAGCGTAAGATTCCATGAAGAGGATTTTGTTTGGTGTAGAGAAGCAAAGACGAGGATCTGAACATGAGAAGTTTTGTCTGTAAAAGAAAATAAAAAGCCCCTTAACCATATTAAAACTATTATTGATAGAGAAATGATTTCTGTATGAGCTCACTGCTGCTTTAAATTATGTCCACCTACTGTTAGTGTCATATTGTTTAGACCTGGTTCAGTCCTGGTTTAGTCCTGCTTTTAGTCCTGGTTTTAGTCCTGGTTTAGTCCTAGTTTAATCCTGGTTTAGTCCTGCTTTTAATCCTGGTTTTAGCCCTGGTTTAGTCCTGGTTTAGTCCTGGTTTTAGTCCTGGTTTTAGCCCTGGTTTAGTCCTGGTTTAGTCCTGGTTTTAGTCCTGGTTTAGTCCTGGTTTTAGTCCTGGTTTAGCCTGGTTTAGTCCTGCTTTTAGTCCTGGTTTAGTCCTGGTTTTAGTCCTGGTTTAGCCCTGGTTTAGTTCTGCTTTTAGTCCTGGTTTAGCCCTGGTTTAGTCCTGGTTTAGTCCTGGTTTTAGTCCTGGTTTAGTCCTGGTTTTAGTCCTGGTTTAGTCCTGTTTAGTCCTGCTTTTAGTCCTGGTTTAGCCTGGTTTAGTCCTGCTTTTAGTCCTGGTTTAGTCCTGGTTTAGTCCTGTTTTAGTCCTGGTTTAGTTCTGCTTTTAGTCCTGCTTTTAGTCCTGGTTTAGTCCTGGTTTTAGTCCTGGTTTAGTCCTGCTTTTAGTCCTGGTTTAGCCCTGGTTTAGTCCTGCTTTTAGTCCTGGTTTAGTCCTGCTTTTAGTCCTGGTTTTAGTCCTGGTTTAGTCCTGGTTTAGTCCTGCTTTTAGTCCTGGTTTTAGTCCTAGTTTAGTCCTGGTTTTAGTCCTGGTTTAGTCCTGGTTTAGTCCTGCTTTTAGTCCTGGTTTAGTCCTGGTTTTAGTCCTGGTTTAGTCCTGGTTTAGTCCTGGTTTAGTCCTGGTTTATCCCAAAATGTGAAAACAGGAAAATACCGCCGTGTAATCCATTTATTTCAACAAAGTAACTGTAATCCAATTACCACTCACTGAAACAGTAACTGTAACTGAATACAGTTACTCATAATTTGTACTCTGATTACGTAATCCAGGTACATGTAATCTGAGATCACCAAGACAAGGTAAAGATAAGATCTGTGGAGAAAGTAGTACAGGTGTAACTGAATAAACACATGATAGATCCGTTTATTATTTCAGTTTATGACTACATCAGTACTAATACACGCAGTATATTGTAGGTTGTATTTCATCACATACTTTCTGATCTTTCTTGAGTAATTACAATAGTTACAGCTCTGTCTATTTGAGTAACAGTATCGACCTCTCTACTCCCCTCACACTTGCCTCTTCAGCTCTTGTACTGCTTTGGCACTGAGCTCTTTTAACAGTCTGGCCGTCCTCCAGAAACCAGCAAACCTTTTTATCACCATATCCCACAAAGAGCGGCCACGTTAGCTGATCAAGTCCACGGCAGATGGGCACTTTGTATCAGTGGCACTCTCATTCGCTCTAATGGAAGTACAAAGTCTAGTTCTCCAATCACTGCCTATACCACGAGCCAGACTTTTAATCACCTCATGTAGTGTGGATAGGCGCGCACGCATGGCTCCAGTCCTAATCTTCCCCAGCTCCGAGCGGGCCACAGCGGCTGGTGGCTGGGCTCCAGAGGGGGGCTCATCTCCCGGGAGCCGTGCCCACTTTCGGTGCAGTGTCACTGGGGCGGCTCTAATGAAACGTACCCAGGTGTTCTGGCTCACAGCTGAGCGCTAAGTTCAAGGCTAAGTATGAACGCAACAAGAGCTAAATACCACGAGCAGCTCTGATGTGGATAAGTGGTGCCGCAGCAGTTTCAGATTATGTTTGGGAGATCATAATACATGATCTGTTTATTTGTCTACTGAATGGACTGCTCTGCTCATTTGAAATCAAGTAAGACATATAGATGACTCCAAAATGATCCTTTTAGGAGCTGCCGGCTGGTGGTACATTGCATTATTTTCTTTCACACATAAATTACTGTTGGAGCCACAATTGCCCTGAGGCAGACTGAGAGTGAGGGGGCCAATCTGCACTCACTCCACATTCATACTAGACAATGTGATGAAGTGTCTTGAAGTGGACATGACAAATGATTTGCTGGATTTGCTGGAACCACATAAAATGATGAATTGGAAAGACATGAGATGACAGCGAGCCTGTGCTTCAGTCTGACACTGGTGCTCATATTTCAGGCATTAAACACCACAGAGACAACGGACCAAAGACTCTGACCTTCAACAATCAACAAACCAAAGACTCTGACCATCACAGAAACAGCAAACTAAAGACTCTCTGATAATCACAGAGAAAACAAACTAAAGACTCTCTGACATCACAGAGACGGCAAAATATAGACTGTGACCATCACAGAGACAACAAACTAAAGATGCTCTGACCATCTCAGAGAAAACAAAGTGTTGACTCTCTGACAATCGCAGAAACAGCAAACTAAAGACTCTCTGACCATCAACAAACAACAAACTAAAGACTCTCTGACCATCAACAAACAACAAACTAAAGACTCTCTGACATCAACAAACAACAAACTAAAGACTCTCTGACCATCACAGAGACAACAAACTAAAGACTCTCTGACCATCAGCAAACTAAAGACTCCGACCATGACAGAAATAACAGGCTAATGGATCTGACTGCTCCTCGATGTACAGCACAAGTACAGGATAGGCCTATACCAATATAAATACCAAATAAAATACTTACGGTACATAATTTTACATCACAACTCGTGTACTTGCATTGAACCTAAGCAGTATTCTTCCCTCCTCTGTACCTCTGACTCCTGCTTTGGCTTCCGTCTCTGGCTCAGCTGTCTCTGAGTGGGGAGACACTTGACAGAGAGATCCAATATCCAGCTCAGTGCGCGGGAGCCAGAAGACCCCCACCCTCACCTCACCCCTTCCTCACCTCACCCCCACACAGCCCCTCACATCCTGGATCTCTCCCTGCACTTGTCTCCTCTCCTGCCCACTCCCCGCTCTCCTTTTGGGGCTCGGCTGTCCGTCCATCAGGCCCCCCGCTGATTGCATTTGATCTGAATGGATTGTTTTTCGTTTAGATGTTATTGCCTCGGCCGCCCCCCTTCCTCACCCCGTCCTCACCCCCTCCTAAGCCCACGCCTCACCCCCACATCCTGCCCGTGCCCTCGTAGACTGGTGCAGAGGTGAAGCAACAGGATTTAATGAAATTTCCAAAAGCAACACAGCACTTACGTATAAAGGGAGATGTAATAATGCTTTATATGGAGCTGCTTAAAGAGCCCACGTTACTCTGTCTTCTGATCTATGTTCTGATGTAGTTTCCTCATCACACACAGACCTGGAGTTGTGTTTTGATTCATTCACACGTTTAACACACAAATCCTGCATATTTAGTCTGAGTTCTTCTCTCAAACTGGAAACACGCAGTTCCACCTTAAGATGTATTCTGGCCAATCTACTGAATAAAAGACATCTCAAGGTGTAAGGAGCATTTTGGGCATTGTAGATGTAGACAGAATAATACTAAAGGTTTACTCAAAACGTAAACATATGTAAATGAAACCAAAAAAATATCAGATAATTTGGGGAAAGTATTCAAAATCTGCCCTACATATCGTCCCAGAAATATCGACAGAGCTTATCGGCCGTTGGAGCTCTAGGCCTCAGCCATTAAAAAATATCATCAGTTATTATCAACATGTAAATATAAACAGAATATATGGATCATGGTTTAATGTTTGACATGGTATTAGGAGAAAATAAAAATACATGATTTGGCCATTTACAGTTTTGCAGATGTTTAAATATCATCATCATCATCATCATCTATATATATATATATATATATATATATATATATATATATATATATTTTTTATTTTTTATTTTTTTTTTTATTTTTATTTTTTTTACAATTTTATTTATACATTTTGATAGCACATTACAGAGTATGTATACCAAAAATCATATTTATGCAAATTTTTTCCAAAAATAACCCCAAGAAAAAACAAAACTAAATGAAGAACAAAATAATAATAATAATAAATAAAAATAGATGAATAATAATAGCAATAGTACAGTAATACTAAAGTAAAAAAAAATAATAATAATAAATTAATAATATTATAATAATAATAACAAATGAAAAAAACAGCAGATAATATAAAGACAGTTAAATACACAGTGACAGATTAAGAAAAATACATACACAACCATGCTAAGGTATGGTACCCATTTAATGTGTCCATATATTTTTTTCAAATTTTGTGATTGAACCTGCAAGGGTAAATAAATATCATCACATTTGTACATTGTTTATAAATTTATAAACAGCACACATATTATTCATAGTCTGATTTGCCACTAAAGGTGCATTCAAACATGAGACTAAACCCAGAACTAAACCTGGACTAGTCATGGACTAAACCAGGACTAGATCAGGACAGAGCAAAGTCCACATCAGGACTGAACTGGGCTCACCAAACAATGACACAGTGAGACAGGGTATTAACAGCTCACACATAACATAATTCAATGTTCATGTGACCTTTTATTGATTTGAAAAGGCTATATTTTCCAAAAAGTATGTATTTTGTACTCCCTTTGCTCCTCACGCTAAGTTGCTCCCCTGTCAGAGCACTATCCTAACACAATCAGCGTGCATCCCGCTAAAAAAACACTACATCACATCATGTTTGTGAAATTACAGTGTATTGTTTTGTATCATGCGTTTGTATATTTATGGAGAATAGTCGTGTAGGAGCATGAGGGATGTAGGCTTGTGAGTCTCGCACCTGTAAGTAGAGGTTGAATAGGGCCTGGGAGAGATCACTAGATTACTCAAACATGCATGGATGACATCTGATGACATGCATGGATGGCATGATGAGGGAGTGATGTTATTACACGGTAGAAAGCTCCAAAAAGTTGATTTTGTGCAGTGCCCCGTCTTTAATGACAAAAAGACACGAAAACATGAAGCGAGCCCTGCCTCTCAGTGCCTCTCTCCTTTTTGCTCCTCGTTCCATCCATCCATCACTGTCTTTGATACATCTCTCCGTCCCCTCCTCCCTCCCTCTCTCCCGGAGCGTGGCCTTGGTCGTCTCATTAAGCTCCAGAAGCAGGGCACTCTCTCACTTTCACAAGCCCGCGGACAGTGCCTGGTGGTGGGCATAAATCGCGGGCGCTGTGGGGCTGTATCTCACGCGCTGTAGCATTGATCGCAGCGGCTCTCCGGAGGGAAGCAGAGATATTAAAAACAGAAGCCACCTCAGCGCTGCTCTGGTGCTATCGACTGGCTCTCTGTATTCAGCGGTGGTGGAGGAGACATGATCTGGGAGAGACCACACAAATCTCTAGATTACTTGAAATGAATTCAGACACAATAATCTGTCATGATGTGAGCAGCTATGACGGCCCTGCGGATATCGTGTAATGAATCATTTGTAGAAGGTTTCATAGTGATCTTGTGCATTCTTTATTTACTGCATTTAAGGCCATATGCTACTGGACTTATCTTGTAGTTCAGGTAAACACTGTTGTATAAGGAGCTTTTTGTCAAAATATGAAACCACAAGGAAGCAACTGCCAGGGCCAGATGAGTTTAAATCCAAATCCACTTTATTTCTATATCATATTTTACAAACAAAACTGTTTCCAAAGTGTTGCACAGGGATCATAAAATGAAGACAACGAAAAGGTAAATTGCTAAAATGTGGTCATACAAGTTCTAAAACAATAAAACCAGTCAAATCAAAATAAAAGCAAAAAACTATAAAAATCATAAAATAGCAGTAAATAAGTAAAAGAAATAAAAGACACAGGACCACGCAACTCATGCAGTGTTAAAAGCCAGAGAGTAAAAGTGCGTTTTAAGATGAGACTTAAAACTTTCCACTGTGGGGGCCTGATGAATTTAACCAATCAGAGTTGGATGTTGGATTGTTGGATGAGAATCATGTGAACAGCATTATGCTTTCATGCAAACACTGAAATATGTTTGTCACTCATGATTCAAAATCAGTTATGCCCTTTTAGGGAGACAGATGTACAGTATCAGTCCCAGTTTTAGTATCAGGGATATGGAGGGAAGTTGGCGTCGGCTAATTGCGCTGATATTTGGAGCTGGTATATTGCACAGACTTTTTGTGCCCGTGTGCATCACATTTGTCTTTTTGATACAGATATATTTTTCTCTCAGTATTGGCGCGTCTCTGTGGCCTTTACTTCAAAAGAGAAACTCTCTTCTCACATGTCATCCTAACACATGTTATATGCCAACATTCTTTATCTATTTGTCATTTATGCTTTAAAATGAACTGGAGACATGTTTGTAGTTTGTAAGGATCTAGACGGTGACTACAGAAGCTTCAGCTACCAGAGAAGCACAGCTCAAACACCATGAGCAGCAAAAGCAATTGAAGATCCAAAATGGCGGCGTGTCTTATGTGTGAGCCCTCTGATGGTTTGGGTGATGGTCCTGAGGCTGCTCTTCAGGGGGAGGAGCACATGAAAGACTGACTCCTGTGCTCCTCTCACAGCGGAGATCAGGGCTGTGTGTGGGTTGTGTGTGGGCTGTGTGTGGGTTGTGTGTGGGCTGTGTGTGGGTTGTGTGTGGGGTGTTGGGTTGTGTGTGTGGTGTGTGGGTTGTGTGTGGGCTGTGTGTGGGCTGTGTGTGGGTGTGTGTGTGTGTGTGTGTGTGTGTGGGCTGTGTGTGTGTGTGTGGGTTGTGTGTGGGTTGTGTGTGGGTTGTGTGTGGGTTGTGTGTGGGCTGTGTGTGGGTTGTGTGTGGGCTGTGTGGACCGGTCTCATGTGGACACAGGCTGAAGGACACTGAGCATCGATCCCCGGGCAGAAGGAGGGAGGAGGGTCTCAGGCAGCAGACCCCCTGTGCCCTCCTAAAGGCTGGTTTAAGAGTGCATAGTGCAGCAAGAATGTTGGTTTAAATCTGCTTCAAACATGGGTATTACACAATATGCATGCATTTAAAAAGTTACAAAAATTTGAAGCACAATATTTTGCTACAGAGAAATATTGCAATAATTTAAACTATTTTATGCTACTGATACAATTAAAATAAACCAAGATAATCCCAGTGAACCATTTTTTTTTTTTAATATAGATGGAACCATTAGCCATAGAAGGGACTTATTCAACTCTCTACAGCTCAAATATGATTATATTACAACTAAAATAACTCTAATCTTGTTTGCAAAGAAAAAGTACCCATGATGCATATTGAGCCCCAAAATAAATTGGTCCAGTTTTATATATATTGAACAACTGGGGCGACAGTTGCTCAGTTGGTCGAGCATTTGTCCACTGATGCGAAGGTTGGAGGTTTGAATCCTGCTCTTGACATAAACATCATTGGGTGAGCGGTCAGATCCACTGACCCACTGATTCCAGCTCCCACAGATGACATTGTGTCCTTGGGCAAGACACTTAACCCACCTCACTCCCAGTGTGTGTGTACACTGGTGTATGAAAGTGTGTGTAAATGGGTGAGTGGTTCCTTAATGTAAAATTCTTTGAGCCTTGAAGGTGGAAAAGCGCTTTATAAAAATGTGACCTGTTTATCATTTACCAATACGTCAGTAGAGTCATTATTGTGACAGGCCCTCATACACTGTAAATACTATTATAGTCACAGCTGCCCTGGGGCATGCTGACTGAAGCAAGGCTGCCAATCTGCACCTCAGCCCCTCCCACTACCACCAACACTCACTCACCACATTCACACAAATACACTTTGTAACTTTTGGGGTCTGCCGTCTGCTCGTCTCCATGGAGATGTTACTGCTCAACCTGGAAAGTTCCACACTGACAGAAAAACTGCACTGCTGCCTCAAGGACATTGCCATTTCAGTCCTGGTTATCTTGGCTTAATCATCAGAGGTATAATACTCCCTACAATGGAAGCATATAGCCGGACTTTATTTGTTGTTTGACCAATGGCTACCTACAATCGACCACCACTGGGAAAGAGTACTAAACGTTTTTGTCCTCTTTATTTAAACATCTTTTCTTCTGTCTCTCTGTCCAGATCTCCCGCCTCCTCCCATCCCTCCTCCAGCAGTGCTCAAGTCCCCCACACACCCCTCCAAGGCGGCCATGGAGGGCAGGGGGGTGGTGTCTCCCAAGGCCGGGGAGAGGAGAGGGGGAGCGGGCAGCGGCTACAGGCCCAGAGACCCGTCTGACCAGAGGGGCGACCAGAGGAGTGACCAGAGGAGTGACCAGAGGGGTGACCAGAGGGGTGACCAGAGAAGCGGGTCTGCGGAGAGGAGAGAGAGCCCAGACAAAGCAGTGAGCCAAGGAGGAAAAGGGAACAAGGCCCGACAACACACAGGTACACACACTCAAAGGAATGAAAGACAATAAAATACAATAAAATATGGCCGGTAATTAAATGATGTCTTCAAAATCCTGGATAACTACACTGTGGTCTGTGGGGGGTGGAGATGTTATTGCTTTGCCTAGAATGTTCACCAGTGTGGCTTTAAACTCATCTTATTATGTTTTTCTTATAATGCCTGACAGAAATGTGCCCCAAGTCTGGATATGTGTTTAATTTAAGAGGGGCAAACATATGTGGGAAAAAGGAAACAATAGAATAATATTCAAATGTGGATTTAGTTGAAGCTTTAATATTTAAATAGATGACCTTTCTGTGACATGAGTGGGTGGGACAAGACCTCAAGCCACAAGAACAAACAATAAAACTGTGTCCAGTCATGGCAAAATATGAAATAAAAAAAAAAACATAAAAAACCCTTCAATTTATGTATTTGAAATTCTGACCAAATCTCATGTGGTCTCAACCTCGTGGGCTCAGTCTCGTGTCACGTGCACTTTGTCCTATGTGAAACACTCATGTTGTACGGTATAGACTGACCTACAGGTATACAGCCTATTATTATTATTATTCTAATGTCCTGTCCGTGGTGTCCCCCAGGCTCTGAGGACATCCTGCCCTACAGCAGACCACAGTTCCCCTCAGTGAACAGCCCGCGGGACCCCAGCTCCTCCAGCTCCATGTCCTCCAGGGGGTCCGGGGGCCGCAGGAGAGGGGAGGGGGGCCCCGGGCGCAGGAACCCCCCTGCAGACATGAGCCTCAGCACCACAGGGGCCTTCACACCAGGAGAGGAGGAGAGGGAGGTGAGTCCGACAGGGTGGACTTGGACAATCTATGAATTCAGAATTAGCTGGATATGGATAATCAGGGCCAAGTAAAAGAAATGAAACAGTCGTTATGTTTCATATATGTTCAGATATCTGTTAGGAGCAAGAAGGTTATTAAGGAATGGAATTAAGGAATTAAGGAATTAAGAAGGAATGTTGCCAGGTTGTGAAGACTTATGACTGTTGCCTTAACAATTCTTTCTTGTTTCTTATTAGTGATAGTGTTCTTTCTTTTGATTGGTCAGTACGATTCATATATGTTTGGATGTCAGTTAGGAATGTTGGCCATAACAATTAACAATTGAACACAAAATATTTCTTCTTTTGAATAGTGAAAAGTCAGACATCAGTCATGTGACTGAACCACATGAATATGCAAAACATAATCAGAAATTAGACACAGAGAGCAGTTCTATTCCCTAACACTTATAATAATGGTACATGAGTTCATCATGATTCATGCATTATACATGAAGCCCAAGATCTTCAAACGTGCATAGATGATGATTCAGAAAACCACTTCAGACATGATGTTGATGAGGGAAAATTATAAGATAGAACAATAGAAAGTTCAAAAATACACTCTCTTCAACTTTACTTTGCAAAATTGTTGTGAGAATATTTTTTAAACCAAATACCAATACATTTAATGAATGAACTTTGAACTTCATCATTTCTCTTTTGAGTCCAGTTCTGAACACATACACAATTACTGATGTGTCCTGACCAATAACTACTGTTATAAATCAGCAATTGTGTTTGTAGAGCTCAAAAACACAACAGCAGTCGTCATTGAAGTGATGTACTTGCTGGTGCTAGATGATACAGTGAGATCTAGTCCACCCCATATTCTTTCACATGTCCCATACACTGAGCATGTTCTCCTCTCTTGTCTTGCAGATGATTGAGAGCTGAAGACCTGAGCGACCTTTAGAAGAACTGTTCTGATTTGTCTCGTTTGGAGCATCGTCGTTCTCCACCATTCAAAATCTGTCTTTATTCCACTTTGGATTTGGACTCTCTTTCTGTACATGTGTTCCTTTACCAAACCGACCAATGTTTTTTCTAACTTTCTACATCTGTTCAAAAGACAATAGAATGTTGCGTGGAATCCTGAGTATCCTAGTATATTTATGTTCAATTCCAATGCAATATGGGGTCATCTCCTCCACATCACTCGGCTTGCCTTGACCTGGACTGGACTGAGAGCTGCAGCGTGTTGGGGGGCAGACTGTGTAAATATCAATGTAACGTCCAATTGTTCGACCCGCGATGGTACCTCGACCCGTCTTCCTCGTTTGATTATTTTTGCAAAAAAAATTTAAATGAATATAATTATTTTACCATTTCCATCCATGTTGTAAATTACTATCTCGTGGAGCTCAACGGCTCAATTCGAAGTCCGCTCTGCTTCTGGAAGTGAATTTTCTGTTCCTTTTTCCCATAGACTTTTCTGAAAATTCAAATACTAAGAGTTCAAGGACGTCGTGGAGGCTAAGCAGCTAATATCTGAAAAGTTTTAAGTCTGAAAAGCACATTTAGAGAAGACATATTGTGCTCAAGTGTCTGTTACACTCACAAATTGAATAGAAAATGTTAAATATTCTTCCAAAACTAGTTGTTGTCCATGTCCTGTAGTGGAATTGGAAATCTGTACATCACATCCCTACGTCTGATGAATGCTCGAGGATGGACCACTCACTTTAAACATCTTTTCTTTATTATTATGTTTGTTTCTCTGTTGCTGCTGCTGAACTTTGAATTTCCTTCAGGATCAATACTTATAATTTATCTAAAACAACGTAATAAAATAAACAGTCCACAGACTTCCACGTTAGAGATTTGCGGTGCCCAATGCGAGCTAACATCGCCGTAAATGTGCATTTGCTTTAAAACATCAAATTTCACGTACATTTAATAATAACTTAGTGGTTTGTAAAGTTTCAGAAACAGATTTTAAAGAGGGGGTTTTATGCAAAAGCTTTCTACCCTCATCAAAAACGTACCTGAAGAGGTTTTAGATGTCGCCTATGCATGTTTGAGTCATATAGCGATCTCTAATGCGCTCTATTTAAAGCCTCCTTATGATTAAGTGCCATATTTTCCGGGTTATTAGATGCGCTCTTAAGCCTCCAACCCCATCAAAAAACTACTGCGCATCCGGAGCATCCGATAGACGAATCCACTGGGGTGTCCCAGCACGACTTCAGTAAACTACAAAGCCACACCACCTGCAGCACACGCAAACACACACGGAGCAGACAGTGACCGTGCAGGGAAACACACCCACAGACACACTCATCACTCCACGCCGACGAGGAACGGAACGGAGGAACGAACCGAAAAAGCGAGTGCAATGTTCCTCTTCTAGACACGACTGAACAACTGAGTCACTGCGAACACGCCGACAATCCGTTGGTCCCAGACAGCACCCTCCCTACACGCCACAACTGAACAAAGCCCAGAGTCACCGTGAACGAACAAACAAACAAAACCACTCACCCATCACACTGTTGGGTTTCCTTTAAAGTCCCACGCGGTTTATTTGTGAAAAAAGTTCGAAAACAGTCCATTTAATGGCAGTGTGTCTTATAATCCAGAGTGCCTAATAACCCAGAAATTACGGTATAAGATTTTGTTCAAGGCTCCGCCCACAAGCCTACGTCACCCATGCTCCCACACGACAATTCTCCATAAATATACAAAAATATGACGCAAAACTGTACACAACAACTTCACAAACCTGATTCGATGTGTTGTAGTTATTCGCAGGATACACGGTGATTGTGTTGTGATAGCGCTCTGAAGGGGGAGTGACTTAACACAGAGATCAAGGGGAGGGTAGAAAACAAAATTGAAACTTAAAACTTTTTAGTCGATTATAACAATTTCAAACCAATAAAAGGAAACATGCTGATCTAAAGATGTTAACAATTAAAACCCCGTAAAAGTAAAAATCTTCTCTTTAAATAAAATATTAGGTCTTGTGGTCTTAGCTTTGAATTTTTAATATAATTTTTTGTCATAAAGTCAATGGGAAAATGTACTTCCAGAAGCAGAGGGTGGCGGTCTCTGTTGAGCTCCATTTTGCTGCCCCAAGAAAGTGCCACTTTGGGAGAATTAGTGTCTTTTGTTTTTCGTAATGCACTGTTGCGTCGTGTTGTTGTTCGTTCTATGTTCTATGTTTGACTTTGGTTTTAAAAGCACAATCACTAGACTTTATTTTAAACCATTTTATCTATTAACCTTTTTGTCTTACTGGCGGAAACAGGAAGGACAAAAATGCGTGTAGTTATTCTTGAAGCTGGCGTTGGCGTTGTTAGGTTTACGAAGGATGCTTTTTTGTTAATTATTATTTTATTTTGAAAGGAAATTCCTCGCCTTCTGATTGGCCGCCTCTCCGGTCCGAGCGATAAGTGATGAATTGTAGCTGCAATGTAAATAACTTTTGAAATTGGCCGTGAGTGAAGCGGTCGGGAACGGTAATGCACTTAAAATGGTTTTCAAAAAGGCGTCGCGGTGGTGACCGGAGGCGTGGCGAGCGGGAGGAGGGGAGGAGCTTCGTTTCTTGAATTGACAGGGCATTGGACCCTCGGGAGGAAGGGAGCTGTTGTTTATTCATAGGACATCTGCAAACATTTGTTTCGTATGGCGAAAAATAAAAATGAACTAAAAAAGAGAAATAAAAAGGTTCAAACTATAAATGAGGAAATGTTGTGTGTTTCATTCTGCGCTACAGAGCTCCTGCACTCATGTGACTATGTGAGGGCGCCATGTGGGCACTGGTGGATTATGGGTAATGAATGGCAAATCATAGACAAAGATTTATCTAAAACTAATCAGATGAAATGATGAGGATGGAGCGTGAGATTGACAGGCGGATTGGTGCAGCTTCGGCAGTGATGCGGTCGCTGTATCGGACCGTTGTGGTGAAGAAGGAGCTGAGCTGAAAGGCGAAGCTCTCGATTTACCGGTCAGTCTTCGTTCCTACTCTCACCTCTGGTCATGAGCTCTGGGTAGTGACCGAAAGAACAAGATCGTGGATACAAGCGGCCGAAATGAGTTTCCTCCGCAGGGTGGCTGGCGCTCCCTTAGAGAGCTCAGTCACACGAGAGGAGCTCGGAGTAGATCCGCTGTTCCTCCACGTTGAGTTGAGCCATCTGAGGTGGCTTGGGCAGCTGTTCCAGATGCCTCCTGGACGCCTCCCTCTGGAGGTGTTCCGGGCATGTCCCACCGGGAGGAGGCCCCGGGGAAGACCCAGGACACGCTGGAGGGACTATGTCTCTGGGCTGGCCTGGGAACACCTCAGGGTTCCCCTGGAGGAGCTGGAGGAAGCGTCTGGGGTGAGGGAAGACTGGGAGTCCCTGCTTAGACTGCTGCCCCCGTGACCTGGCCCTGGAAAAGCGGACGAAAATGGATGGATGGAATCAGATGAAACATGAGGGACCCTGACCTGTCACCGCTGTGATTTTAAAGACAATAGTTGGTGTAGACTTCACCTTAACTCTTCGATATCTGGACATTTAGTTTATTTTTCACCTTCTTACATCATTAAAAAGTTCCTTGGAGATGTTTGTGTAAAACAAACTTCATTATAAAGCTCTACACATATAACGTTTACTGACACTGACCATTTAAATGAGGTGAAATTGATCAAATAGTGAAAATACGATGTGCTCAGAATAATGTGCAGATGTTGTAGCTACACAGCGGCTCATGTAAATGCAATAAACACACGCAAACTATTGATTTAACTTGAGCTTGTGATTTTGTTTTCTACAATCCACATTTCTAAGCAGTCATTAAATTTAAACATATGAACAGTGTTAAGCAAAAAGCATTTGGAATCATTCTTGTATCTGCTCTCTCTGTCTCATTACTACACTGTTTACTAATGATAATGGACGATACACATACTTACAGTTTTTGAATAATTAGAATTAATCAGTCAAATTAAACCAAATAAAGAAAAAAAAAAAAATCTCAATGTAAACAGACTTTCATAGCTTAATTAATGTCCAGTTTGATTAACGTTAGGTACTATCCTGTTTAACTGCAGAAATCCTTTTTTGAAGTCAATCTGGAGCTTTATCAATCCGATTTATCCTTTCTATCTATCTATCTATCTATCTATCTATCTATCTATCTATCTATCTATCTATCTATCTATCTATCTATCTTTCTATCTATCTATCTATCTGTGATAATGTGTTCATCCCGGTGCACAACAATAATCCACAATCTCTGAAACTCCATAAACTTTGTTCATTGTGGCCCACACCATTCGATTCTCTGTGAATTCTCCACCGCTCCACTGTGTGAGGTTTGGAGGTGCATGATGGGACTGTGTGAAAACAGATCTACATCATTTGAAACAGTTTGCAGTGGTCCAAAGTTCTTCCTCACTTACCTTAAGCATTCAAAGAAATCTCATTATTCCATGATGAGTTTATAAAACCTTTCACTCAGAGACCAGAACAGAGTTTTGGTGTAAAGATAACAACATAATAATAATGGATAATAATGAACATTTTATAAGAAGATGCAGACAGTACACAACAGAGAGTACACAACAGACAGTACACAACAGAGAGTACACAACAGACAGTACACAACAGACAGTACACAACAGACAGTACACAACAGAGAGTACACAACAGAGAGTACACAACAGAGAGTACACAACAGAGAGTACACAACAGACAGTACACAACAGAGAGTACACAACAGACAGTACACAACAGACAGTACACAACAGACAGTACACAACAGAGAGTACACAACAGAGAGTACACAACAGACAGTACACAACAGACAGTACACAACAGAGAGTACACAACAGAGAGTACACAACAGACAGTACACAACAGACAGTACAACAACAGTACACAACAGAGAGTACACAACAACAGAGTACACAACAGAGAGTACACAACAGAGAGTAC